TTCTGAGCAAAACACTCATTAATCATTTTGAGGAGAGAGAGATGCTGAGAGAAAGAAAGAGTGGAACATGGGAAGAATGATTATACATGAAAAAAATTGGAACCAAAAAAGGTTTGGCCAGGTTGGTTGTCCAGATTGGAGCCAAAACAGTAAATTCTAGTGCTTGACTGCAATGTGGGCTGGTGAATGCCCCACTCAACAGCTGTTTGAAGCCATCTGGAAACCAATTTTTGCAAAATTTTCATTTATAATCATTTTTCTAACATCCCAATCTTCCTTTCTCTCAGCACTCTCACTCCCCCAAAATGAATTTCAAAGCTTTTGAGAAAAATAAATTTTATTTTTTATTTTTCACAAATTTTGAAACTTTGTTTTTTGTTTTTATTTTTTCATATTCATTCTTTGGGACCTATTCTGCACCACTTCACCAATTCTTGTGACTTCAAGTTTGTGCTTTGAAGCTCTCGAATCCAAAACAAGCAGCCAAAAATAACGGTCCACCCACTGTACAGTCTCAATGACCCCAGGTAATCCCAGTGGGACTTGGAGGGAGGCGGTTCTTGATTACAGGAAAGTGATTCTTTCCGGTCATCGAGAATGTACAGTCTCAATGAGACCATTCAATGATCGGAAGGAATCCCTTCCGGTCATCAAGACCATTTGATGACTGGAAGGATGATTGCAGTCTTCATTATCTTCCACAGGTTCTCAATTGGATTCAAATCTGGTGACTCGGGCGGCCATTCGAGGGTGGTGATGTGATTATCATTGCGGAAACTAACCCTAACCCTAACCCCCTAATGCTCTAAACCTAACCCTAACCCCACAAACCTGCCCCCTAACCCCCATCAGGGGATGGGGCCAGTGGGAATCAAACCCACAACCTGCTGGATGGTCAGATGTTAGGGCCAGTGGAAACCACTGAGCTACAGAGACTTTGTCTCTGACAGTGTTTTTGGAGATCTAGTCAGCTGGGGGACCCAGCTCCAGGCAGCTCACCCAGCTCTGGAAGCTCTTTGGTTCCAAACCAGAGATAATGGCACCATTTTCTTTGGTTTGTAACCAAAGAATTTGAGTGACACAGGTGGTCCACTCTCAACAGCCAAGAGAAACACTCTTGGCCATTGAGTGTACACTCTCGGCCTGACTCTCCCTGACTCTCAATGGCCAATAACACTCTTGGCCATGAGTGACCAAGTCACTTAATTGTTCATGTTCCAGGCGACCAGTGGTAATTTGATCTGACCAGAAGGAATCCCTTCCGGTCATCAAGACAATTCAAATTTCAATGACCGGAGGGAATCCCCCCCGGCCAGTGGGAGGGAAGCGACTCCCAAACCTCCCACTTGCCAAGGAGGGTATTGGGCGCCAACTCCCACCCAAAAAATAAAATAAAATAAAAAATAAATAAAATTGAATTGAATTGGGAGGTTGACTCCCAATCCCCCAGGGGGAATTGGAAAGACGACTTCTGTCCGACGACCCCTCGACCAAAATGGGAGTCGTCATCGAATTTTTGGGAGTTGTTTTTCCAACCCTGATTCCTGATTAAAAAAAGGGGGTCGGAAAAACGACTCCCAAAAATTGTCCGACGACTCCCATTTTGGTTGAGGGGTCGTCGGACAGGAGTCGTTCTTCTAAATCGATGAGCATCCAGCAGGTCGTGCGTTCAATTCCCACTGGCCCCATCCCCTGATGGGGTTAGGGGGCAGGTTTTGGGGTTAGGGTTAGGTTTACTGTTCTAGGGGGTTAGGGTTAACCCAGGAGAGGCACAGTACCTGGACAGGTTTGAGCGGAGTAGTTCATCTGCCTGGGTATTGTGGGGCCATTGGGGACCTGGCGGAGTTGTCGGAAATCCAATGGCCCCTGCTTCAATGGGGGGTTAGGTTTAGAGTTAGGTTTAGGGTTTGGTTTAGGGTTAGGGTTTAGGTTGGTTAGGGCTGTTTTTTTAGAAAAAAATGGGCAAAACTGGTTTTTACCCAGCTCACCCAGCTCTGCTTGTTCTTCGGTTTGGGACCGAAGGATCCAATTGCCAAAACTCGGAATCCCTTCCGATCGATGAGGTATAACTTCTCGTTGACTGGAAGGAAATCCTTCTGGTCATGGGAGCGAGCGACTCCCAAACCCCCTCAAGCATGAGGGGTGGTTTGGGGCGCCGACTCCCTAAAAATCAAAAAAATTAAAAATTAAAAAATTAAAAAAGAAATTGGATGGCCGACTCCCAAAGTCGGCCATCGATTTAGAAGAACGACTCCCATCCAACAACCCCTCGACCAAAATGGGAGTCGTCGTACAATTTTTGGGAGTCGTTTTTCCGACCCCCTGAAAAAAACTACTTATGTATTGTGTTTTGAAGAAAGCTTGGACGGATTTTCAAGTTTGCTCATGCTCCATATTAATCATGGCATTCCACCATTTTGAGCTCAGGTTTTTTTTTTCTGGTCTCTCCCTTGTGTGAAATAAAGTTGATGATTACAAGCCAACAGCAGATTAAACCGGTGCTGTGCACTGCAACCACATGACCTAAAGAGTTGGAAATTCGTGAATTGTCCAAGCATTCTTCGAAACGCCATATGCACTACATAAACAACTTTTTTCTGACTCTTTCTTTGTATGTTGGAGAGGTTTTCTGTAGATTTTCACTCAACCCATTCCTTTCTTTCAAGCGCCTTCTGTTGCTGCTATATTATTGGAGGACTTGCGATTTTCCTGGGATGTTTGATTGAGCCATGCCAAAGATCAATTCCAAAGCTTCTAATTTGCTGATAGAGTCAGAGTTGGTTGGCATCACCAACTCAAGCTCCAAAGTGCGGGTTAGACAGACAGACTAAATCCAGTGTTCCCGATTGACAGCAAGAACTTGTGTCCTTTCTTTTTGGAGGGGGGTGTGAAGAGAGAGGAAGAGGAGTTCAAAGAGAGAAAGACACACTAGATAGAGTATCGCAGATATCTGCAGGAATAAGAAGCAAGCCCCAACGAGAGAAGTCAGACACATGTGTGGTTAGCTCGACGATACTCGGCTGTCCTTCACACCGTATGATGATCCGGAGACATCCGGTGATGAGTTTTTTGGGGTAGCAGATTGAGCTCCTAAAGATAAGCAGCGCCGGGGATCTTTGGCTCCTCCTCCTCCTCCTTGATCGTTGATTTGACTTCGTGTTTTCGACCGAGGAGGATTATGAGTTCTTTGTTAATCAGATCATCTTCATCTTTCTTTGGATCAAGTTAAACTGATTTCGTGCTCGTTTCCTCCTGTATCGATTTCGATTTCTGTTGTTTAATGTTTTTCTCCCCTCTGTTTTTTTTTTTTTTTTTTTTTTCTTTTTTCTTTTGAGATCATCAATGCTCTCTCCTAACCAACAGCAGCAGAAGGATAAGCATTCACAAGGAGATACACAAGTCTGCAAGGTTCAAGTTTTGACCAATCATCTCGAAATGTATATTTCTCCTGCTCGAGGATGGGTTGCGAGTTACCCTGTTTTTGGCCCATCTAGTTGAGATCGAATGCTCCTTTTCTCTTGTTGTTCTTGTTCTTGTTGTTCTTAGTGTTCTTGTTGTTGGTGGTGGTGGTGGTGGTGTTCCTCTAGTGGCCATGATGCCCTCCCCCAATCATCGATTATCTACACACACAACTCCAACTCCGATTTCTTGATCAGTCATCCCTATCAGATCTTGTGTGTGTTTTTGCTTCGACGTAGATGGTCTCGACACAATTGTTTTTTTTTTTCTTTCCAAGCTCTCCCTCTGATCTCTATACATTAAAAAAACAACCTTATCTTTTATGTATATCCTCAGCAGTACAAAAACCCTTGCACTTGATCGTTGGAACACCAAAACTCTAGTGTCAGAACTCGACCCAGTTTTATTAATTCCCAGCGAAATCAGCATAGATTTAGTATTGAGGATTTTTATTGATTTAAATTGCCAGAAAATTTGAATATAGATTTTGATTGTTTTTTGGCAGTGTTCTGTCAAAAAAAAAAAAAAAAAACTGCAGCTGAAAAGTCTGTGTGTACTGTTTGACGAAATACAGCGAATTTAAACCCCGCCCTTCTCTCTTCACTTGTCCCGTCCAGCCCACCTTCTTCTTCCTCCCTCTCCCTGCCTCCCTCTCTCTCATTCTCTCTCCTTCCCCCAAAAAACCCACTACAAAAACAAGCACTCAGCCAAGCTATCATCACCATCATCCTCTCCTCATAGACATCACCCCTCCCTCCCAATTTCGTATAAAACACTCAAATTTTTAAAAGTACAAGTGAACTGTGATCGAATCGAAAAAAGAAAAAGAAAAAGAAAAAAAATGGCAATCTTATGGGAACTGTCCACGAAACTCTTCGACCAACTGCCTCCGATTCCGAGCCACTTCACCCAATGGGAGCCGCCCCAAAGCCCGCTGTCAACCTACTCGGGCGTCTTTGCAGCCATCGTCACTTACCTCTCTATCATCTTCGGCGGCCAACGATTGATGGCTGATCGGAAACCAATCCGTTCGTCTTCACAAAATCCCTTCCAACTTTCTCTCTCTATCTCTTTTTTATTATTGATCATCATTCTCATTCTCAATATTATGCTGATATTTTAATCCCCCCCAAAAACATCCCAGAACTCAAGCCGCTCTTCATGCTCCATAACATCCTCCTCTCCCTCGGCTCGCTTTGGCTCTTGGTCTTGATGATCGAACAGGTCGCCCCGATCGTCTACAACCATGGGATCTTCTACTCGATCTGTCATGTCAACTCCTGGACCCCCGAACTCGTGACTCTCTACATGATCAATTATTAGTCTGTCTTCCCCCCCTCTTCCCGTTTTACACTACTCTGAAACTGACATAGAGATTTGTTTTGGGAATCACCTTGCGCGAATCATCATTTGGAGAACAGTTTCAAATATTGGGAGCTTTTAGACACTTGTTTCCTAGTCACCAAGAAGAAGAGTCTCCAATTCCTGCACGTCTTCCACCACACCGCGACGGCCTTACTATGTTTCACCCAGCTCGGCGGACGCACCTCGGTGAGCTGGGTGCCGATTTGTGCCAACCTGACCGTGCATGTGATCATGTACTATGTAAGTCCCTCCTCTCCGAGTGCTCTCCTCCACGGATCGGACCACACTTTTGTTGATTCTGATCGAGTGGAATTTCGGATGTAGTATTATTTCACCACTTCGGCCTTCCCAGGCTATAAGCCGTGGTACAAGAAAGCATTGACGAGCTTGCAAATCAGCCAATTCGTGATCGACCTCTTCATCGTCTACTTTGCCTGTCAGCAGTCTCTCCTTTCCCTTCCCCATCTTCCGTTACTCAGTCAGTTGACAATTTCTCTCTGAACTTCACCAGCTTATTCGTACTTTGCTGCCGAATATCTCGGATGGCCGACGATGGGCAACTGTTCCGGAACCGAAGGCGCCGCCGTCTTCGGCTGTGCCATCTTGACTTCTTATCTCTTCTTGGTCCGTCCTTTCTCGCTCTCTCTCGCTCTCTTTCCTGCTCGAGAATTCTGATCGGCTTCCGCCCTCATCCTCATCGATCATTTCAGTTCATCGGCTTCTACCGCAAGACCTACAAGCAAAAATCCTTGAACAACAAGAAACCTTCTTCTTCTTCAACTACTACCACTACACCTACTACCACCACTAATCCGCTCTCTTCTTCAACTGACAATGACTCCCTTCTCTTGGCTAAGAAAAAGTAACTCATTCCCCTCGTATTTTCTCCTTTCTTTTTAATCTCTGCTTGGGTGTGTGTGTGTGCAGGTGTGTATGAATGAGTGTGGAAAAAAAAACACTGTGTTCATGTGTGTGTGTGTGTGTTGTTTGTTTGTGTTTTCTCATTTTACTTTCCTTGACATATATATATATTTCTTTTCCTCAAATGGATATATATTATATATAGACTTTCTCTTTTCTTTTCTTTTCCTATCTCTTGAATCAATTTCTTTTTTCCTCAGAAACCTTACTTTTTTGTTTTTTTGTTTTTTTGTTTTTTTGTTTTTTTGTTTTCTTCAACATCTTTCTTCATATTTATTTATTCAATCAAATAAACAATTCTTCATCTTTTTTTTAAATCCCAAACCCAAAAACAAAACAAAAAACATTGAAAAAAAAAAATAGAATCAATTAGTCTCTTCCTATTTATGTTTATTTTTGGTTAATTTTGATTTATTTATTTACAGTTAGATTTACACTAGACTAGAAAAGTAGGAGAAGGAGAAGAAGGTGGTAATGGAAGAATGAAGGATACAAGAGAACGAGTTCCTGACCAGTAATCCAAGCTCTAGTACTACACACCCACAATATTGGATGAATTGATTGAATCTGAGCACCGAGAGAAGCCCTACAGAATAGAAGAATGGTCTGCACGTCCAAGTAGCTGTTGTACATATGGACCTTGGAATGCAGTGTCTTCATGGGCATTAGAGGCAGCCTCCCACCTGCTGGGAATCATTGTCCTGTCCCGGACACAGCCAGCTGCAAGCTGGGTCCAGGCTGTGCCAGGGAGCCACAGCGACTCCTGCAAAAAAAATGCAGCAAAAATACAATACAATACACAGTTTGTATCCTGGGGAATCCTAGCAAGATGTGTACATATATGGCTAAAGGCCGGATTTATTGTACAACACTTCCTCATAGAACCACATTTTGGGCATGAAATTTTTTCTCACATCAAGACAGTGATAATGTTGCAAATACTGTGTTTGTTGCAGCGGGGCAGCGAGGCTGCACCAGACAAGTCTCAACTCTACAGATCCTCACCCTTATCAACAAATCCAACGGTTGTCGATCGTCTGTTTCATGCTCAGCCCGTGCAACCCCATTGCTGGCAACCTTCCTCCGATTTTAGGTGTCCAGCTAACCATCCCTCATCCTTGCTTGATTCTTCTCTCTTTGGTGGCTGAGCTGTGGATGCTTGAACAGTAGGTCTAATGTACCTGAGGGAAAAAAACACACACACAGAGAAATTCAGTCGGGGTGCTGTTTTTCTATAAAACGTTTGATTGGCACATTCCAATGTGCTGCATTACTGCAATTGACTCTTCTTGTTTGATCCGTAACACACACGTACGTGTTCTTCTTTTGGATCCTCTTGATGATGGTTTGCATTCAATATGGGGGGGACAACCAATGGCATGTGAAATGAGCTGGACTGTGTGTGGACTGTTGATTTGAGTTTTTTTTTTTCTTTTCTTTTTTTTGGTGGGGGGATGGTTTGTGTTTTCTATAAATTGATAACATTTGGTTATCCTGGAGGGCCCTTCTTTAGGGACTTGGCCAACCGGCTCCCAAATATTGGAGAGTTGACTCCCAAACCCGGTTTTCCCCAAAATTTGGTAGTCGATTCCAGAGATGGCCCCGGCGCATCCAGATATCCGCGCAGATGCAGATATCTGGCTGCTTTTTCCGGGGAAAGAGCCATTCACACCCAAATCTGCAGCCACTGGCGGGTATCCCCCCGCCTTAGCGATACCCGCCCTTAAAGGGCCGGCAAGGCACTGGGCTGGAAGGGTTTCCTACCAGCCGGCAAGGTACATCCTCGCCGACTGGGAAGGGTTTCCTTCCAGCCGGAGAGGTACATGTACCTTGTTGACTGGAGGGAACCCCTTTCCAGTTGGCGAGGTACATGTACCTCATCGCCTGGAGGGAACCCCTTCCAGTTGGCGAGGTACATGTACCTTGTTGAATGGAGGGACCCCCTTCCAGTCGGCAAGGTACATGTACCTTCTTGACTGGAGGGAACCCATTCCAGTTGGAGAGGTACATGTACCTCGCCAGCTGGAAGGGCTTCCTTCCAGCAGGCAAGGTACATCCTTGCCAACTGGAAGGACCTCGCCGGCTGGAAGGAAACCCTTCCAGCCGGCCATTGGCCTGATATCTTCCAGATTTGGGGGGGGGGGGAAACAGCCATCTGAAGCCGGATCCGCACCCCCCGGCAGGTATCCGCTGGCACTGGAGTCTGGCGGGTATCCGCCAGCGGATAACAGATATTCGCAATGGATTATCTGCGACCATCTCTAGTTGATTCCCCAAACCTGTCAGTGGGTTTGGGAGTCATCCCCCAAAAAATTTAAATTAAAAAAAAGAAAACCCTCAAAAAAAAATCAGCGGCTGGGAGGATTCTACCTGGCCGTGGAGAGTGCTCTCTTGATGTCCAATAGAATTTCTCTTGGGAGTTACATAAGGGTATAACCCTCAATGGCCAAAAGAAACCTCCAGGCCGTCAAGGGTGTACACCTCAACAGCCAAGAGAAATCCTCTCGGTTATCAAGGGTGTACACCTTGACAACCAAGAGGTGCACTCTCAGCCGTTGAGGGTATACACCCTTGACGGCCGGGAGGAATCCTCTTGGCCGTTTAGAGTGTATACCCTCAACAACCAGGAGATACACTCTCTGCTGTAGAGGGTATACATTCTCAACAACCAAGAGGAAACCCTCTTGGTTGTTGAGGTGTACAGCACTGTACACCCTTGATGGCCAAGAGGTTTCACTTGGCTGTTGAGGGGTACACCCTTGATGGCCGAGAGGTTTCTCTTGGCCGTTGAGTTCTTGATGACAGCCAAGACGTTTCCCTCGGCTGTTGAGGTGTACACCCTCAACCACTGAGAGAAACCCTCTCAGCTGTTGAGGGTTATACTCATTGGCCAAGAGGGTTAATTCTCTTGGCCGTTGAGGTTGTAGACCCTTGATGGCTGGGAGAAATTCTCTTGACCGTCAAGAGCACTCCGCGGCCGGGAGGAATCCATCATTTTTTTTCTGGCATTGACACCCAAACCCCTCCGGGGTTTTTCTTTTTTTTTTTTTTTAGATTTTTTGGGGGGCCAACTCCCAAACACACTGATGGGTTTGGGGAATCAACTCCCAAATTTTGGGGAAAACAGGGCTTGGGAGTTGACTCTCCAATCTTTGGGAGTTGGTTGACCAAGTTCCATTCTTTATTATCTCACCCTTTCTGAAGAAGTGCAAAACATTGCAAGTACAGCTGATTGATAATATATGAAAAAAAAAACACTGAAGTGATATCAGACTACGATTTGGATTTTCATGGTTCTGAAACAAGGAGGAAGAAACGGGCTTCCTTCATACAAGTAACAATCCTTGAAAAATTGTTTTTTTTTTTTTCTTTCTCTCTCTCAAACAGTCCTGTTGAGGGTTTGATGATCACAGCTATAGCAGCCTTTTCAGCTTTTTTTCCGACCTCTGAACAAACTGCTGAGCCTATAAAATCCATGCCAATCTGTGCCAAGACGCCCCGCAATCCAACTTGGTCATCAGCTTGCACTTAGACTTGACAGGGATCCTAATTGTTCTGTTTTTTTTTTGTTTGAAGGAAATCGTTGTCTGTCTCCACATACATATTGGTATGTCACATTGGTGTCATCTGCAGGAAAGGCGGAGTGGGTGGCCTGGAGATGTCACAGATTCAGAAGCTGTGTATTAGGTGTCACAGATCCGTACACTTGGGCAGCACTCGGAGAACCCACTCCACCCAAGATACAAGAACAACCACCACCCACCAGAGAACTTCCGACTCGAAGAAAAAAAAAAAAACCCCGAACGATCCAACCCATCGCAACAGGAACGAAATTGACAGTCTCAGAGGAGCGGACGAGTGTCTCTCAGCGTAGATCAAGAACATCATGCCTAGCACAGGCCCGATCAGCTTACCGCAACGCAAGTACGATCCCACTCGATTATGTCTCATCAGTTTCCCAAAGTTTGACTTTGGATCTAGGGGCCGGACGACTGCTGTTTATGCTGCCGGGGCTATCTTTTCTGCCGGCTGTAAAACCCCTCTCTCTCTCTTTCTTTCCTTTTTTCTGTATTTTCAAATACTCGTTGGGTTTGGGTTTCTCATTTGTTTTGTTTTTCGTTTTTCTGGTGGCGGGGGTTGGGCATCAGGGTGGGTCTTCTTCGATGCTTGCACTCTGTCGGCTACCATGAAGCCGTCGCCCGAATCGCCCTTCGACCCGGTTCCAGTGCATGTGACATTCACCGATTGGTAAGCTCGATGAAACCGATGAGGGGGGGAGGGGGAAGATGATCTGACATGAGTCTGTGAATGTATGAGAGTATCCAGGATCCCAGGATTGTGTTCGACGATCGGGATGATGATCGTGAACCTGATCGACAAGAAGCGCCTGATCTCGGACGGCTCGGCGGGGATCTCGTTCTCCTCCCACGAAGGCGTCGCGTGGAAAGCCCGGCTGTTGTTGTTCATGGGCTTTGCGTTGATGGCCGGCGGCTTGGCTGGCAGCATTGTCAGTCTCTTTCTTCTTTTACCCCCACACACAACTCTCTTCTTTCTCTTATCCTGTGTGTGTGTTTTTTTTTGGGCGGGGGGCTAGACTGTGCTTATTCTTAAGTATGCAATCCCCGATTGGGGGACCTATAACGTCACCTATTGGGGCGTCGCTAACGTCCTCCAAAACTTGGCCGTCATGATCTGGTTCGTCCCTTATCATACCCCAAATCATGGTCCTTGTTTCATTCTTCTGACTTTTGATATTTGGTTGGAATTATAGTACGGTGGCTCTTTGGTTGACCCAAAACACAGAAGAATACGAATACCAGTTGTAACTCTAGACTAGACACATATATACACACAAATACATATGTATACCCGGAATTTTCTCATTCTTTTTTCTTCAGAAAAAAAAAAAACACTTCCTTTGTCGCTTATAATCCCAAAGCTATTATCAACTCAATTCAATGTATGTGCGTGTGTATAGGATTGATCTTTCTCAAGCAAAAAAAAGCCAATGTACTTGTTTCACCAAATGATATTATTATTTATTACCTCGACCCGATGCTAGTGTGTGTGCTTCTTGTCCTGGTTACATAGTCTCTTGTCTGGGTTTCCTGTCGTGTGCTTATATCCAAGTTGGTCAAGAACAGCCTGATAATCTTGACTAACGTTTGAGAGGCTAATTTCAAGCTTCTCTTTCTGCTACATCATTATTAGCAAATCGAGATCCACTGTCTTTACATATGTATTGAAGAAAGCATCCAAGCTGCTCCCCGACGAATCGATTCTGCTCAATGTACTCGAATTTCATGCCGGCCAATTTGCCCACTAGCAACTTGGAAAAAAAAAGAAAAGCAATGTGTGTATTGTTGTTGCCGAGGATTTACGGATAGCCATTAGAGCCAGAGAGTCAAGGAGCCTGTCGCGCAGGCTTCCCACAAAGAAGGGAAGCACCAGTGAGGCTCTTTAAGCAACTGGCATCCATAATTGTATACTATAGCCCAGGCAGGGCACGCGACCGATGCATCTCCTGGATTAAGCGGGCGTTTTGGTGGTTGATCAGGAACACCCCAAGGTGGTCGCGGAGTAATGATTTGTCTATCCTATTATTCATCGGGAATCATCTGCCAGCTGAGTTTTTGTGAAAGGATTCAAAGTGTGTGATAGTTCTTCTTCGATGGGACCGAGTCGCTTCTCGAAGTCTCGCGGACTTGCCCCTCGGAGCCTTGGAGCTCGGGATGGTCAGCCGATATAATGAGACCATACTACCAGGCCGAATTACATAGCTTGAGTAGCTTATCCATCGAGGTTGGGGGGTGTCCGTGATCGATCATAACCGCCCTCGTTATGTTGTACTGCAATCTGCAGTGCGGTGTGCACTTAAAAAAAAACTCCTCTTTTCCGGAGTCATATTATGAGTCTGCTTCCAAGCTCATCCCGATTCCCAATCAAACCCACACTCCCACTAGACCGCACATAGCGGGTAGATACTGAAAGGTAAGCTAAGTAAACCATATAATGGTGCCTTCTCGGGTTGTTAGGTGGTTGCAGCTGACGATAATTAGTTTGAATAACGATCTTCCAAAAAAAAAAAAAAAGAATTAAAAGAGTTGCAATCACAAGCACCACACGGAACAATCAACAACTACAAACTTCCGAAACCTTTTTGTTATTTTTTTCACGAAGATCATCATCAGGATCCTTAACCCTCTTCCACAAAATATACATATATACGAAACGAAACGAGCATAGGGGGACAATCGATTGAAGAAAGTCGAGGGACAAGAGCTCGCTTCGAACGAGGGTTTTCTTATATATAGCCAGAAGAAGCCGAGTTATACAGACCAGTCGCCCTTGCCGGCGAGAGATCCGATGTCGAAGAGTAGGATGCAAGGCGGCAGTCATGGAGGAGTGGGGAGCAATAATCGAAGTAAGTGAAATCAAGGAGTGACGATGTATGAAGAAACGAGGGTCAAGTGATGTACAACTGACGAACGAAAATATATAATCTGGTGATGAAGACACACTTAGCTGTCCAACAACAACAACAACAAGCAACTGTTCCGGGCCGACGGCCGAGGATTATTACAACACGACCGTCGATCCGGCCGCTCGGTCAGGCCAATCGCTGAACACCCGGCTCGAAAACACGGCCTCTCATCATCATCCGAGCTATCGATCCGCCTGGAACTTCGACCGGCTCTTCCTGCTCAACCCTCGTTCTGCTGCAACCGATCAGCCGTCGTCCCGTTCCGCTCTCACCGCCGCGCAGGCCCGGATCGCCATGCTCCATCGTCACCTCAACCATCGGCCCTCGTAATCTCTTTCCTGGATCCTTCGTATCCGCCCGCCCCGGCTTCCTCCTTGGTCGACCGTTCTATCTCATCGACAATCTCTTCTTCTCCTAGCCAACACAAACAATTCAACAAGTAAATTAATAACATCCACACATATTTTGTATCAGTTTTTTTTCTTTTTGATGTTACTAATATAAGCAGTTAAATTAGAATTTTATTTTAAGTGTGTATCCCACAACCTATAAGCTATCAGACACACCCGATCCATCAGGCCATAACTTACCACTTGCCGTCAGTTTTTCTGCGTGCGAACAGGGAGGAACTTGCGTCTTAACTGAAAATTTTGGCAGGGACAGGAAACACGAATGGCTGGAGTGGATACTGTGAGATTGTTAGGGTCTGCCATTTTGCACACCAAAGATTTGCCCCATGTACACCAAAAAAGGTGTGCACTCCAAGGATTCTTGGAGTGCACTACCATGCACTCCAGGGTTTCTTGGAGTGCACACTAAAAGGGGAGAGACTTGATGATTTTGGAGTATGTACATGGTTGTGCACTCCCAAAAATCTGGAGTAGTGTTTTTTTTTACTGCCCAGGTATTTCTTGGTCTTTCGATCCTGCTCACTTCAAATTATTTGGAGTGCACAGAGCTAATTCACTCCAAAAAATAAAATAAAATTTGGTTTTGATGAATTTCATGGCACTCAACAGAAAAAGATAATGTTTTGCGATTTTTGAACATCATAAGGGCCTGCGCCTCAGGCTCAACAGACAGAGAGAATTTTTATTGACTTTTTGGAATCCACAATGAGCTGTTTATAGACAGTCATGAGGCCCTTCTTGTGTGATATCAGCCTGGGCATCCAAGGAAATACTCCAAATTTTTTGAGTCAAGCTCTGTGCACTCCAAATAATTGGGAGTGAGCAGGATTGAAACAACTAGATATACCTGGGCAGTACAAACACTGGAGTGCATGCCCATGCACTCCAATATTCACAGGAGTACAAATATTTGAACACTCCACATTCTTTGGAGTGCACAACCATGTACTTCAGAATCATTCAAGTTTTCCCCTTTTGGTGTGCACTCCAAGAAAATCTGGAGTGCATGGTAGTGAACTCCAAGAATCCTGGAGTGCACAGGGGAACTCTTTGGTGTGCAAAAAGGCAGACCCTATTGTTAAGCTTCTCACACCTGGTCCCAATGCTCCACAACCCTGCCCCAGAGCCAGATGAATATGTTGTGGGTGAGCTTTGATTTGGATGTGGTCTCATCCGTCCATCTATTTGTAATGCTTCTCCCTCCATAAATCTTTGAAAGTAATAATAGAAAATCAGGCATTCTCCTTCAAACCTCAAAACACAGATCCACCAAGATCAGCAAGACAATCTGTCCAAGATTTTCTAGCCTGCTGCTACCTTGAAGATTCACCAAGCCAGATTTGGAGTATATATGATGCCCACTCTCTCAGCACCCTTGACACATCAGAGCCTTGACAAATTGAGAAAATCAAATTTCAGACTCGGCTGATCTTTGGAAACTCTCTCAGAGGAATCTCTGAGCTAAAGTCCAATCATTCTTGATTCCCTCATCCCTTCAAACACTTTTCTTGATCTGTCATTTTGCGGGGTTTCCCATTCAAAGTCTTGACCAATGTTGCTTGCCAAGGCAGCACAAGAAACTGTCTATCTATATTCAGGGTTTCTTCAAATTGAGTGGTCCTTTGTTTAAAAAAAAATATTTTGTGGATTGAGGCTTGAAAATCCTTCCTTTCCCAGCCAAATTGTTGATTTAATTCATAAACCTCTCCTACATAGAGTGTCCCCCCCCGGGACGCCCTCATAGGAGAGGCTTTGTTAAGCTAGCATCAGGCTGGTTGATGTAAATATATGAGTATGTTGAAATGAATAGGGGAGAAAATGAGCCAAACTGCCAAATAAACAAACACAAGAACTGGTAAAACAGCACTACCTGGACATAAGTCTCTGGGGGCATGAGGGCCTGTCTTTTTATAAGGACACCTAGACTGCATCTTCTCATGTGGATCCCATGGGAGTCTCATTAGGAACACCTGGCTAAGAAGCATTAATACTTAGGGCCAGTGCCATATATTAAGGGCATACAAATCCAAATTCTCAGAATCTACATATCTTACTCAATTTTTTTTGTTGCCTCAATATTGGCTGTCATCAGAAGCCAATTGGTAGCATGGACGTCAAGAAGTTGGTTGTTAGATCACTCCACTTTCTTTTCAAATTTTGTGTACATACATAGGATATGTAGAATGCAGAAGAAAAGCTGGTTTGTCAAAATCAAATCCCATGGGGTCTGGCCCCAATACTCATAAATCATTACTGAGCACAAGACAAATATGGAACCAATGTGTATTAGATAGGTTGACCATGCTCCTCCTTGATCCAGATAAATTTCCAAGGGTCTTGGATGTTGCCGGGGTGTTGGAATATCAGTCAATTTCCTCTCACTTTTGCTTCATAACTAGGGTCTGGCCCGTTTGCTGACAGAGCTCCCAGATCACTTGGGGAAAACTCCTGGGGAAGGCAACCGGGAGGACCAGCATATAAACTCTGTGCTAGCCAGCCAGCTGCCACACAACCTTTTCCACTGACTAACCTGGCACTCACCCTTCCAGGAGTACAGTGGCTAGATAGAGGTTTCCATTGCATGGTCTTTGGACTCTGGAAACTGAAACCAATCACTTCAAGTCTTGGGGATTTCTGAAATGGTTCATGATAGGCTTCCAAGAACTAATATATGTAAAATAACAAAAACAAAGTTTTGAAATTGGTAAAAAATAATCAAACAAACAGAACAGTAATGTTTTTCTCCAGAAAAATTAATTGAAAGCTCAGGAATGATAGGATGAGGTCTGAAATAAATCAAAATGATGATAAGGCAAAATGTTGGAAAACCTGAATTCTGTATGGCTTGGAACTTGTGTTGAGTGGGTCATTCATCAACACACATGGTATCCTGGAAGTTTTGACTGCAGATTGTGCACCCACCAAGCTCAATGTTGTTTGGTTTTTTTTTCATGTGACATACTTTATTTCTGTCTACATATTCACATTTCTCTGAAAAAAAATGATATTATAGCTTTCCAGAAAAAGTTGCTCTGATTTTCTGTCTACATATAACTAAAAGAATGGGCTCAGAGAGCCAAAAAAAGTGACATGCAATTCAACACCAGCATTGAATTCTCATTCACATTTTTCAATACCAACATCAGACCAAGACAGGTGCCCAATTCAAGCAATACGTTCAAGAGGGGCAAAAGGTGATTGACTAAAACCAATGGTGGGCCGCTACACTAACCGTAGCGGTCAGTGTAGCGTAACACAGCAGAATTCCCGTTAGCGTTAAGCGTAGAGTAGCGGAATTCCGCCACGACACCGCTAACGCTACGCGTGTGGGCCACAAAAAAGGGCCCACTATGCTGCGCTACAGCGGGCTTTAGCCGCTTTTTCCGGTAAAAGCGCTGTAGCGCAGCGTAGGGTAGCAAAAATGCACTACAAAATTTTGGCACAAAAAAAGCGCCGCTAGCCCAAAAAGCGTAGCGGCCCACCGCTGCTAAAACCCCTCAACATTCAGGGCAAAAACAAGGTCAACAAGTTAAACTCCCCAAAATTGGGGGCAAATACTGGAGGACTTCCCATTAAGGCATGGTCCCGGGGTTTGGGACAGGGTCTGAGGCTAGTCCCGAGGAACAAACCCCGGGGTTCAGGGCTTGAACCCCGGAACCCCGGGGTCTTGATTTTTTTTTTCAGATGCGGTGTTGGTCCTCTTTGACCGGTCAACCAGCCAAGGAAAGACTCTTCTTGGCTGATTGACGCAATCTGTACCCTCCCCAGCTGGTTACAGACTCACTTACCGGTTGGAGAGGATCCTCCAGAATCCATCTTGGTTGGTAAATGAGTCTGCACCAACAAGCCAAGAACTTATAACAAAGGGAAAAAACTGGTTGGAGGGCCCAGTCAGCCATAGAATCAACACTGCCACAGATACGGTATCTGCCCGTATCTGCCATATATCACTATGTATCTGAGCCCCAATAAAAAAAACTATCTGACCAATCTGCTTTTATTTGCAAGGAGATTCAACAAATTTGGTTTTTGGCCATGCAGCTTTGCAGAATTCTCCATGATACACACAGGGTATCATATCTGTGGCAGAGTTGATAGAATCGGGAAGTAATTGACTCCCAACTCCAACGACCCTCTACAGACGGTCCTTGAGAATTGTCAGCTAGAAGAAGTGAGCCAGTTTTTAAGCCGCTTAAATGGTTTCCCTATGATATATCAAAACCCCGGGGTTCTGGGGTTTTGCATAGTGCCATCCTGAGTCCTGAACCCCGGGGTTTGGATTCGGGCAAAACCCTGAACCCCGCGGTTTGGGGCCATGCCTTACTTCCCATCACCATTTAGAGTGCTTTTTAAGCCCTCCCCAGTCCTAAATTAACACTTCAATCATAATTCCAACCAGCTCACATGAGAGCTATCTTCACAAGGCTTGTGAAAAAACAATTTTTTACACAATAAATTAAGATCTAGGGGGTGTAAATCAAATTCTGGGAGGGTTGTAAACTGCAACGGGAAGTGGAGGACTTCCCGTCAACATCTGCGGGTCTCCCAGAGTCAGTTTAGAGCCTTGAAATTCAAATCTCCCTGCAAGAATTAAAAGTTTTTGGCTCTAGATCAACTTCTGTGAGGGTCCCAGATCCAACGGGAAGTCAAACATCTGCGGGTCTCCCAGAGTTGGTTTAGAGCCTCAAAATTCAAATCTCCCTGCAAGAATTAAAAGTTTTTGGCTCTAGATTGACTTCTGCAAGGGTTCCAGATCCGACGGGAAGTCCTCCAGTCATCCACTGCCTTCTTACAAATGTTAAAACTGTGTTTTCTGTTGTTGTTTTTCTATATTCATTCTTTGAAGCCTATTATGAAACATTTCACCAATGCAAATGACTTGAAGTGGGTGGTCTGAGTTTAATTATAGAGTCCAAAACATTGTGGTGGAAACTTCTGTCTGGCCATTGGACAACTTCCCGTCAGTATCTGTGGGCCTCCCAGAAGCAATTTAGAGCCTGGAAAGCTAGATTTCCCAGCAAAATTCTAGACTTTTCAGGTCTAAATCCACATCTGCGAGGGTCCCAGATCAGGGGAGTCCTCCATTGTACATGCCAAATCAAGACTCTCCCCCCCCCTTATGTCCCCCTTGAGATCCAAAGGACATGTGCAGCCATCCTCAAAGAAGCTCTTCATTGTTTGAGACAACTGGATTGTATTGGTGAAGAACTGATTCAAATATATGTGGCCATGTCGAAAAAGATACGCGTGTTTTTACTTAGTTTTTTTTCAACAAAAGAAAAGGGACTGAGAAACACGGAAAGTGATGTATTGTTTTTTTTTGTGTGTGTAACAACCAGCTTTTTGTAGACAGTGGTATGATCAGGTGTGTGTGTGGAGATGACATATATCAAAGAGGGTAAGACAACAAATTATGATGGTAAGGTCAAATTTGCATCGACACTCGACAGAATGTTAATCTCGAAGGAACAGAGATCCCCGACGAGAAGAAGTTTCTGGTTGTTTTTAATGTGAGTGGACTTTTGATCTTGCAACGAACAATTGAGGAAGATGAACCCCCGGGAAAAAGAAGTAAGCACCGGGATCCATTGCACTCGACTACCTGGTTCGGATCAGTTCATGGAGAAGGTATACTGAAATGAGAGCAGTCAGACTCTATAGACTGAACGATGAATACAGAATATGTTGATGTGAACAAAACAACTCACGACAGCAGAGTAGGGAACCTGAACGTTCTGCTGATTACCCTGGCAACCAGGCGACGACGGTACACCACGGTTAGTTTGGGTGCGGGTGACGAACCTAAAGGGAGCCGTGGAGCCCGGGAGCGCTTGAAGCTTGAGCCATGGTGCATTTCCTGGGGACGGAGCAGGCTGGGTCGAGATTTTCCGCGCAACAATCGTCCCAAACATGTCGAGGTCGAAGCGAGGTCCGCCGCCAGAGAAATAATGGTGGCCCACTGTTGCTCCTCGTTGGTCATACAATTGTGCCTCTTTTTTTACAAGAAAAAAAAACAGTCATGTCAATCGTCCCCGAAGTGTTTAGGATCAAAAGAAAAAGGAGGAAAAGGATCGATTGTCAATGATCAATCGGTCTCCTAAAATCTAAATCGTTTTATCTATTTAAATGAAAAGAATGATACAGAGATCATAGCAGGATCGCATACCAGCTCCAACTGGGGCCCAAGTTCCACCCGAACAACTATAGATCTGATTACCGGTTCCATAGAGCTGGAGAGTTTGAGGGGCAGCTGCACGAGATGGTGGGTATCGTTGTTGTTGACCGAACACATTCGCGGCAAGGAAGAACACTTGCACGCTGAGCACGCGCATGACGATTGTACACAACATGGCGATTGTTTTCTTGATTGAAACTCTTGGAGAGCGTGGTTGGTTTTTGCTCTTGACTAAAAAGGCAAAGAGGATTGTGGAGTTAAAAAATCCCTGTAGGGGTATGCTAAAGAGTGTGTGTGTGGAGGAAGTTGGGAGCCAAGCTATGGAAGAGTGGCAGTCTGAAGTATTCCTTCTCTCCTTTCGGTGGCAGAGGTGAGGACTCTTCAAAGCAGGGACCTGGACCTACCTGGACCCGTCGCCCGGGTGAGTCTTGCTTCAGTATGGTTTCTCATTCGAGGGCAATCTCAATCAACTCTTCTCAAACATCTCACGTTCCGTACATAGGCCTTTCCGAGCGTCTTTTGGAAATTGGCGTGTCGGCCAGCCACCATCGCGCGCCGAACTGACAGTGACAACCGTCAGTTACATAACTTGACGCCGTGCGGCGGGAGCTGACTGACATAACTTGATGCCGTGCGGCGGGACAATATTGACTCTCATCATTTCTTCGCGTGCAGAAGCTTAAGCACCCCGGTGTCTTTTAATCGGTCTTTTGACATGAGATAAGATCACTGTGGGTGTGCACCGTGTGTGTGTGGTGTGGCATGTGCTGTGAGTAGGGTTGACGGCGCGCTACCTGAGGCGCGCCGATGTGCGGGCGCCGCGCACGCGCGCCCTCGGCGCGCATGAAATCTGGAAAAAGGGGGGGTGGCGCGCACTTCTAACCCTAACTTTTTCGGGGGGAGTCATCCATCAACTACCCATAAAAGCTGTATTTTTTGGGTTTCTTGGTGGTTGAACTTACTTTTTGGCCCCCGAGAACCCGGTTCGACCCCCGAATAGTGTGAAGTGCCGCATGGCACCCACCGATTGTGGCTACCCGATAAAGCAAAGTCAGACTTTGCTGTGGTAAAAAATTTAGGTTGAAAAAAAAATATAATTAAAAAATTAAAAAACATGGAAAATAGGCAATATGTACATGTTTTTTACTGCGGAAAATGGCGCCCCTGGCGCGCCTCCAATGTGCCTGCCAAAGGCGCGCATCGCTGGCAGTTTTGGAGGCGCCCTCCGGCGCGCACTTTTCCAAAAGTGGCGCCGTCAACCCTAGCTGTGAGGAACCTTTAATCTTCTTTGATGATGAGAATTTCGAAAAATCGATTGCACTGCACACTTCACACTGCGGCAGAATAAAATATGATTATGAACTATGGACCATCTGACCCAAACAAGGATGTCACAATTTCGAGAAAAAAAAAATCTACATTCCTCAACTTAGTCGTTCTACCCTCTGGCAGAAGGGAGAAAGCTTTCCTCAAGGCCAAGCCTTTCAGTGAGAGCCCAGCTGTGCTTGTGTCAAATTCGCGGGTAGGTGGAGCCTGGAGCCTGAAGTCTGGAGACTAGTGTTGAGCTAGGATGGATATTGCCATTGAAAGCCTTGGAGATCATGGTGTGATCCAGTGGACAATGGTTGGGCGTTGATCACAGCTCTGAAACCTTTGAAACCGTCAAGCAAACAAATTCTTCCAGAGATCACCCAGACTCTGCGTGTACCATTTTGTGTGCGTATTTGGATTAACGCGAAGCCGTCGAGCTTCCAGTCACCAGCCCATGGGTGGGAGCCGCTGTCATGTGATGACTACATAGTATACATTATACAATTCAGATCTGCCAGCAACTCTCAATGTCAACAAACAAGTGAGGAGATAACTAGACTGCGAGAGACTCTTATTTCTTTGTTAAGAGACAAAAGGAAGACTGGCTGATGATAGGGTCTGTTTGCAATTTGTACAAAAGCTAGTTTTGTTTTTTCTAGGCTTATCTGCAGAGTGTAATCGGGTTAAGAAGGTGGCCACACATTCATTTTTTTTTCGGATTGGTTGTGAAGTAAGAAAATCGTCATAAGGATGGGTTGAGGATTATACCAGAAATGCCAGACAAGAGAAAAAGTACAAGTAAGAACTAAGACTGGCTAGGTTTAGAAGTGAATTGATCCCAGAGATCGGTGGCAATACGCTGTTGTTGTTTCTTCATTTCATCATCCTCTTTCGATAAGTACAGGGAGCGTGTCAGATAGTTAGAGCGATTACTTGACTCGGATGCTCGATTGGTATCATCGAAGAGATTCTCGATTGGTTCGTGTTTTCTGATGAAGTTCCAGAGCATGCAGAGTGCATAAACCAGTCGGACCTGCTTCCTCAACTCGACTTCTTCAGGTGCGGTTTGAAGGACAGGGAACTTTTGTTTCATACAGCCAAAGATCTCTTCAACTATGTTGTGCCGAAGCGTTGCGTGTCTCGAATTGAATAACTCTTCTTTATTCTCGAATTTCTTATCTTCAGAGGTTTGTTCTTGGGGATCGTATCGGGCCCCTCGGAAGGGAGTCATGAGACCTTTTTGGAGTGGATATCTGGGGCCGCTGAGAAGATATTTGCCGTCTGGAATATCTAAGCGTTTACTTTGAGTGGCTGAGTTGAGCACTTGAGAGTCCAGAGCACATCCTTCCCAGCCCGCAAGAACGTATATAAATTCGAAGTTCAAGTTGACCGCCGCTAAAACGTATTGGCAAATCATCCCGTGTCGATTTCGCCATGGATTTGGGGTCTTGTCCGGTGCCGTAACTGGGAGATAGACGCCATCAAGAGCTCCTATACAGTCTTTGAATGGTTCATTCTCTGGCTTCTCCGATATATCCTTCGGCAGTCGACATGTTCTCGTTGTCATTTTGATGTATCTAGGATATAGCTCGAATAAAGCGTCAAGAACTGCGTTGAAGTATCTTCAAAATCGAACACAAAAAATTCATGACATCAGTATAGAGACAAGAAAAGAAAAGAAAAAGGATGGTGTTGAGGGAATGGGACGAAAGCACACCTCTTTATAGTGTACACACCCCGACGAAACTTGACCGAAGTTTGACGCATGGTACTGTTATGGCAGACGATATCCAAGAAGATCAAGACCTGTTCATCGATTGATACCGATCGGCCGTCTTCGAGAAGCTCAAGAGTATCCAACTGGTCGACAAGGGTATCGAAAGTCTCGCGTTCCATCCGAGTGATTTGCTTGAAGAGTTCAGGACTCGCATCGTTAAGCAAGAACCGAGTATACGCTTGTCCGCCATCGCCATATTCCGGACCCTCGTCGTATGCCGCAAGAAGGACGATCGCTATGCCGGCAACGGCTGCACATTCTACACTGCGACTGTTGGGCCGCCGTTTTCCACGAGTGTCTTTATTAGCCTCGACTTGCTCTCGTCATCCATCTTTACTGTGACTGATCGGATTTGAGAGAAAAGTCACCGATTGGGTTTTTGTAAAGATTGCAATATACAGTCAAACCTGTCTAAGGGCATACCTTTCTGTGTGCATAACCTGTATAAGGGAATAGTGAAGGGCTTCTCCCTAAACTTGATTTTGCTGCAAATTCCCTCTCTCTAAGGGCATAACCTGTTTACAGGCATACATAAATCCTTCTCCCAAGGGGTATGCCCTTAGACAGGTTCGACTGTATGTAAGGGGCATTGAAGGATGCGGCTTGTTTGCTGCGCATGAGGGCTAACTTGATATAAAATGTTAACATGAAATCCCCCGCTCGGCAAGAAGGAAAGCGCCGTCAAGCTGTCAACCCCGATTCAGCCATCGGGCTGCGGCACTATCGGAAAATTATAGATTCCCCCATAAAAATGTAATTTTGCAAACCGTCTGATTTACAAGACATGTGTCTTGTAAATCAGACGGTTTGTAAAATTCACGTACCCATTTTAGATACTTTCATGACCAAGTGTGGAACTTGCAGGAGTGCAACCTGATGATCCAGACCAAATGAATCGTAAATGGAACATAAGGGTTCAAATGCCCAATTAGTTCTCTGTTCAACTTGCACCGAGATGCACCGAGACAGCCCGCGACAAAGCTCATAGCTACACATTTGTTCTCATTTATGTAGCTGCATACCTCGATAGCCGTTTTGCGGGAGCCAAACAAACAGTTTACCGGAGGGCGCATTAAAACTTGCCTGTTGTGTAGCTCTCTTCCTGAAAATAAATTACCTCTGTGTGCGCACGGTGCCGCGGCTGTTCGTTCGTGCAAATACCCTCACGCGTCATATTCGAAGAGACGCAGTCCAGCCTATGTACCAACTCGAAGAACAGATAGGCATCTGGTGAAGAAGAGTTTCCTTTTAAGTTGAAAACCGAATTCCCGGGCTCTACATAACCCATTCCAGAACTCTCTTGCTTAAGTAGCGCCGCTTGTTATCCTATCCAACAAGTGTTACAATTCGCTACTGTTCCAGTTGTACTTTTCATCTGTTCTTAATCGTCACAAATTCTTAGCGAGTTCCATGGCAAGTTCGGCACAGTTTGCTCGACCACCAATTGGGCCTCCGGATTTCAGTGTCATTGCTGCTGATGTTCATACCCGGTGACCTTTCTGTGCTTTGGCCTCTTGCCGCTTTACTTGCCAGTAGCACAGAGAGCACAGTCTCTTGACTCTCTTTGAGCCTAGTATATAGCCCATTCAAAGAACTGAAAATAGACTGACAGTTTCTGGATGAGCTTAGACGCCATGCTTCCCATTCGCCGATCCTGCCCTGTGCTAAACCTGACTTGGTTGCTGCTTCAGTTCTTACTGGTCATGCAGCTAGCTGACGGGTTCTTTGAACTCCGCTGCTCATACGGGCCAGATCAACTGTCTTTGAAATTATCCTCAGCTATTACCCTTCCTTCTACATTTTCTCCTTTCAAATTATTTTGAAGCAGCTCGCACATCATCAGGCCTACAGAATGTCTCAGTTCAACCGGACTCAAGAAACCCCTCATGAGCCTTCGCCCTCTGGGCGAGAACAGGCTTCTCCATTGATCACTTCGTTCAGCACCGGGGAGCCTTCTCGCTTGGTATCGCCTCTATCAACTTATTCTCCGAGTTCTTTCTTCCTCCAGAGAGAGAGGTCCAACAGTCCACCACAGTCGACCCGCGAATTATTAAACGCTTTTCCCTCTCCTCGTATTTCTTCACCTGGACAAGCTTTCCTATCGCCCTCCCAGCCCTCTTCGGCTTTGAGAAATAATCATAATGAATCTTTGCCTTTCAACTCCGTTTCTACGAGTCCAGCTGGGGATCATCACAGTCGCTACTCACCGATTTCTGTGGCTAGAAGAAACAATGCTCCCGCAACATTTCCTCCCAACAGCGGCCTGGGTATAGCGGGAACGTCTTATGGTCAACCGAGTCCATCCGCTTCTGAACAGCTAGAAAATATGCTCGATTCTCTCCAGAGTCCTGAAGAGACATCTCGAAAATCCCACCGTTTCTCAGTGCAGGACGTTGACAAATTTTACGAATCAGGTCTTCATTCACCCGGTAGACATTCAGAAAATTCTGGTCAGGGAAGTCGAAGTGACTCTCACAACTTCGATCATGCTAAGCGGCTTTCAATGATGCCTCCTCCCGAGCCGATCGAAATCCCCACTGCAGAAGATGTGCGGTTTGGAATCAAAGGTGCAAAAAGCGCCGGTTGGACTGAGGTTCGTAGACAAAGTATGCTCCGGCAATCCTCGAATAATTCGAATTCTTCAAACCAAGGTTGGAGACAAAGTTTTTTTGGGAAGTTCAGCAGTACAGATGAGCTGAGTAAATATGGCGAGATTGCTGAACCATCCCACGCAGATAGGAAGAACAAAGACCAATTGGAAGAGCTTCAAGATTTTCCTACGAGGAAAGACTCATCCTTGTCCATCATGGTCGAAGAGCCCAATATTACTCGGTCTCACGACACTACTTTTGTGATGAATGTGGATCATGATCAAGCAAATCCATCTGCGAGTTTCATGCGACCCATTAGTATGGCTGGGGACCAAAACCTCAAAATGATGCGTGGAGACAGGTTAGACCCGGTGAGCTGAATTGGTCAAGCGCGCTTCCTCAGTTGAGAGAGGAGCGATGGATCATTTGAATCTTCTAATCAATCCTCTTCTTCTTTTTTCAGAACCCCACTGCCATGCGATTTTGTCCGCCCCTGAACAACTCTGAATCGATGGCGTCGTTTCGTGGGAGTGCTAGTAGTGTTCTCTCTGGAAATGAATCCGGTCTTTTCCACAGATTTGGCAACTCGAGAATGACAGAAGATTTTTCACTCAGAGAGAAGGAAGATGAGAAACGCCTTGGGTACTTACCTCACAATCTTGATATATTCGATTTTCGGGACGCGGAGGTGGACGACGCACTTCATGACCCGGGTCCTATTCTGCCCCGGAAAGGTGTTGACCGTATGATCGTCGAAAGCAAAGTGGTCTCAGGCCCAACTGATTGGTTATCTCTTCGGGGTTGGCTCAATGCGATCGGCCTGGGAATACTAGCAGTTACCTTAGTATCTTTGTTTGCTGGGTTCCCAATCATCGATTATTTTATCAAACATCCGATCGGTACTCTTGGGGGATTCAACCTTGGGGGGATAAATGCCACTGGTCAGGTTCCGCAGATACTCGGCTTCCGAGGTCTAATCGACGCTGATACACCGCGAGCGGCAAGAACCAAGAAAGGGACGGATGGAAGAAACTATCAACTTGTTTTTTCAGACGAATTCAATCAAGAAAATCGTACATGTAAGTTATCTCCTCTCATGAAACTTGGAGTGAGGAGTTTATCCTTGGATATCGCATATTGCCTTTACCGATCCATGTCTAGAAATTTTAATCAGTGCAGTAAACTCATCATTGACTTAATCTCATTTCATTTTACCTTTATGGCTCCTTCTCAGTTTGGCCAGGCGACGATCCTTATTGGGAAGCAGTGGGTGAGTTCGGATTTGGAGCTGTTTCCCTTTGGTACAACGTTAACAGAGATATGATGGTTCGAAACAGACTTGCATTACTGGGCTACCAGTAATCTTGAATGGTACGATCCCGATCAAATCACAACTCGGAATGGGTCCCTGGTGATTTCTCTGGACAAAGTGGCCGACCCTCGATTGAATCATAACCTCGACTTCAAAGGCGGCATGCTTCAAAGTTGGAACAAATTCTGTTTCACAGGGGGAATCATAGAGGCTTCCATATCATTACCTGGAGACCCAAAGGCTGGTGGAACTTGGCCCGCGTTTTGGACAATGGGCAACTTGGGACGAGCTGGCTACGGTGCATCATTAGATGGCACATGGCCATATAGTTATGATACCTGCGACGTAGGTACATTGCCGAACCAAACTGATCCTAGAACCGGAGGACCTGTCGCTGCTAAAACAATGGGTGATCCCTATCACGACAATGTGTTAAGCTATTTACCTGGTCAGCGTTTCAGTCGTTGCACATGCCCACGAGTTGCTGGAAAGAATTATCATCCAGGCCCCAAGCATCCCGATGGCACGTGGGTGGGTAGAAGTGCACCTGAGATCGATATGTAAGCAGTAGTGCAATGAACAGAAAAATCGCACGAGATCAGTGACTGACCATTGAATAAGCTGCCTTTCAGCCTTGAAGCGATTACCGATCCAATATCGAAGTTGGGACAGATCTCACAATCTGTGCAGTTGGCTCCATATAACGCCAACTATCGTTTGGTAAGCTCCCGAAATTGCACAAGCGTAGAGCATCAGCTCCTCCACTCGCAAACGCTGAGCGGAATCCGACACAACTGACATTTCCACCCAAATCGCTTACAGAACAACCGCACGCAGGGAAACGTGAAGGTAATGGACAATCCATTCGAAACAATTTTGAATCCGTACACTGGAAACATTTATCAACAAGCCGCCTCAGGCCTTAGTAATACAGACCAGGTCAGTTTTATTTTGGAAATTCATGATAGCTTGTCTTTCGTATTCCCCACGATGCTAACTTATCTTTCCTCTCCTCTACCTTGTTTTCTCTACCCTCCCTCCCTCAGACGACGTACGAGGGTAAGGGATTCGCAAGCTATGGATTTGAATACGCTACTTCGGATTCAACCAATCCATTCATCACTTGGACACAGCAAGATCAAGTGAGCGAACCCAATGTTTTTCGTCAAATGTTTTCTCAACTGACTCAACAGGATCATTCGGTAGGCTATGTGGCAACTAAATCCCGCGGCCATCGGGTCAGATCCACTAAGTCAAATTGGACCCAGGGTTATTCCCAATGAGCCAATGTACATGCTGCTCAAGTAAGCGTTCAGCTTTCTTCGTTGATAGTTTTTTTTCCAAGCACTGCTAACATGATGCCATTTTTCGAAATGTTATCAAGTCTTGGGATTTCATCCACGTTTGGTGCGGTTGATTTGAAAAAGCTAGGTCTTCCTGTAAAGATGAGAGTGGACTGGGTTCGAGTTTATCAACCGGTGGGCACGCCAATCAACACGAATTGCAGCCCGAGCAATTATCCAACTTCTCAGTACATCCAAGACCATCTGGCAGCATAGTGAGTGCTTTGTTTTGGACTTCGCAAATGATCGACTTAATTGATTGAATGTACTCATTCTCTTTGCAGCATGAATCCCAACTTAACTACATGGGAACAATACCAGAAAGCTCATGGAGATAACACAGGAAACCCAAAAACCGGTTTTCCCAAGAACAAGCTCCTCGATACGTGTTAATCCGAAAACCTCAGCAACGCGCAGTCTAAGCTACTTCATCAGTTCCTCGTCGATTCCATCAACCTCTCTTTTAAAATGTATACCCTGTTGAGCAGTGATCCTCAACATATATTCCTCATAGCATAAATTATCGTTCCCTTGTTTCTATTTTTTACTAAATGGAAACAAACTACTCTGAAGTCTTTGTATTTCCTGTTTTGGATACTGTCTGTATTTTTGGATCAAGAATCACATAATGTATTGTTCTCCTTTTCACAACAAGAATAATTTAAACATACCTATCTATGTTTTGTTTGCAAACACAATTTTCAAGGTTTGGCCTAGCCACCTGATCATTTAGCAACAAGATGCTTAGAAAAAGAAGACACATGTTGGCTAATTAGAATAGTATTATTCTGGCTTTATGACATCTTTTCTTCTTTTCAAGATTTTTTTTGCATCTGGGTGGAATCAAATTTACTCCATGATTTTTTTTACAATCAACACTGAATCAAAAAAAAACTGTTCTGATTTCATTGTAATCTGGTTGGATGGATTTTTGTATATGTCAATAATTGTGAACTTTCTGAAGTTAATAAGGACCATATCAAGTGTAAACAATTTACCAATTTACCATTTGTGAACTTGAACTCGAATCCCTGACCACAAGGTTTCAAGTTGAGCACAAGAGAAATTATCATTCCACTTGTATGTATTTGAAGTGCATTCCCCTGACCACCGGGAAAAATACTTCACATGCAGGAGATTCATCCAAATCAGGGTGTAAATGGGAAAGGACAATATAAAGCTGACCCAAGACTCAGGATGAAAGTGGGTCGGGTTGACCCGGAAGTGACCCGTAACCCGTCGGGTCAGCTTTATGTTGAAAAAAATTATCTGACCCGACCCGAGTGTGACCCGCTTGATTAGCGGGTCGGGTTCGGGCAGCAAGTTTTGATTTCGGGTCAACCCGAAAACCCGACTACCAACCCGTTTAAGGGAAGTCAGGGACTCTGGTGACCTCTGGTCTGTGGGTCGCCAACCAACTTCAGGATCCTTGTGAGTTGCCGCTTGGAAATCTTTCTTTGATTGGTCATCAATACAAGACTACGACTCACAAACAATCTTTGAAGGACGCTTAGCCTTTGATTGCATCCTTGTAGGCTTGTAGGCTTGTAAGCCATTGGCATCCCATCGACCTCAGGAATCAGGATCATACGATTGAATAAAATAAAATACACAATAGGGTACAAAAATTGTTCTTTTTCTATATCTATTGCTTAGACATGTAAATATGCTCTAAAAACCTGCTCCAAGCCTGACCCGGAAAGTGACCCGCAACCCAACCCGACCCAACCCTGACCCGCCTGCTCCCCTAAGTGGGTCGGGTTTGGGCAGCAATATTGACTGTATGACCCGACCCAACACTTTTGCCGGGTCGGGTCTGGGCACTGTTTTTTGACCCGAACCCGACCCGGTTTCATCCTGACCCAAGACCCAGCGGGTTGTGGGTTGGGTTTGGGAAGATTATGTGGTAAAATCCAATGACCTGAACCAAATCCCAAAAGGGAAATCAGCTTAGCGGGTTGGGTTCAGACAGGGTATTTGGTGAATGGGCTAGCCCATAAATCCAAACCCAGACTCCAGTACATGCACATGTACATACAATTTACATACATTGGTCCACCGACTTAACTAATTCCCTCTTGGGCACAAGGTGTATGGCTCCAAAAGATCCAAAGGGGGGGGAGGCAGGCAGTTCATGCCCAGGAGGGAATTTGATAGGAATTCAGTTTGCTTTGGCCACCAGGTGCACAGAACCTCCCCCTCAGACTTGTTAGATAATTTTTACTATCAATGACTCTTGACTTGCTGGGGCCCCTCATCTTGATTAGAAACACCTTGATTCTCAAATGCATGAATAAATTAAGAGAATTCCCTCAATGAATATATAATTTGGTTTGGCCAGGACCCAAGGCTGATTGACCTAAAACCAAAACACCCCAAGATGGGTTTGGATTTGAGCAGCTGTCCTATGTTGCAGCAAGTCTGCTGTGATGTATTTTTGGTGCTTGGTAGAACACTTTGGTACTATTTTAGGTTGGATCTTAAATCTCTGCACCTTTGTTCTTGTTTACATTTTCAATGACCAACCTTTATTTGAAGTTACAGCTTATTATTATTTAATATACAAAGAATTCAAGTTCACCTAAGAATCAAGTTTCAGCATCAGTGATTTAACCATAGGTATGTAGAACTTTGATATTTAACTTTGAACACCTTGAATCCAAATATCTGGATATGTGATTCATGTTGAATGTTGGATGGTAATCAGCTGAGCAGTTCATGACTGCTGGCTTTGAGCCCAAACTTTTAACCAGAATTGCTGCTGAAAATTTAAGCATGGGATTGTACATCCCAAAGTGAGCTCTTGCAGGTTTTAATTATTGCCTGCTGATCAAGTCATTGAAGGTCACATCTTAACAAGGTTAGGCTGCTGTTTTAAAACAAAAATGTGGGTAGTGCATACATGATCTAATTCATCAACTCTGAGGAAGTCAAACACACCATGGCCTTAATTTAAGTTACCTAGTGATAAATCACTTGGACAATGGACAACTTCCCATCAATATCTGTGGGTCTCCCAGAAGTGATTTAGAGCCTTGAAAGCTAGATTTCCCAGTGAAATTCTAGACTTTTTGGGTCTAAATCGACATCTGTGAGGGTCCCAGATCTGACTGGAAGTCCTCCAATCACAATGTGTCAATTGAGAAAGTACAGCCAAACCAAGAAAATTTATGGTCTTGGTTGGCAAAAAAAACATTGTCAGCCGATGGAATGTTTGGAAGACACTTACATACAGGGTTTACTTTTGATTTTATTTGCTACCTTTCACATCTCTTGATTCTAGCTCATGAGGCTAAGACCATTGGAATACTGATTGCAATCTTTGTCTGGCCGTCTCATCATGTGTTGCTCCCCCTGCCTCAGCCCCCCAATACATTGGTTGGCCAGGTCTGCAGGCAAGCATTTTGAAATCTGTACACTCAATGTATTCTTCCAAAACTTCTGACTCCAGTCAACGTCTTTCTTTTTTTTTCTTTGCCAACCAAGACTGCAAGCTTTCCCAGTTTGGCTGTAACTCATGCAATGATTATTTCTTGCTTCCATTCCAAAAACAAGTGGTCAAAATCCAGAGAGAAGTTGCTGAGAAGCATGAGGAGAAACATAGGGAATCAAAAAAAAATAAGGAAAACAACCATCAATCTCATTGTTTTGGAGAAGTGGAAGATTGCACCACAAACAGCCAAAACCCATCAAATATTTATGCCTTTGGATCCTCTTCAAGTTGCATATTGTGTCATCTCAGCAAGCCCAACAGCCGGTGGTTTTGAATTGAATGGAAGACAGTGAATAAGGTCCTTATTCCAGGTAGAAGTGGATTGAAGTCTCTCCTTTTTTGCAAGTGTAAGCGCATGTGCTCGTTTTATAGAGCAAGGGTTGACCGAGGTTTTGTCCGCATTGTTTAGGCAACAAAATTGATATGATTGATTATGATAGGGAAGGGTGTTTCATTTGAATTTTCTCTAGTTCTTGAATTTTCTGTAAGTTTGTAGCTTGAGTGTTTTTGAAGGTGTAACGTTGCTTGCGGTTCGTCTGTTCTCTTTTCGTTGTCGTCCATCGGGCCCGGGTACGACGGATTCAATCGCATGCGTCCTCGTTGAAGGCGGCATGGACCACGGTCGGAAATGAGATGGGCAGGCCTTGAAGCTTCATATCAGTTATCCGACTACAAACCCTCGGGCGCAAGTCGTTATTCAATCGGTCAACAAAGGCAGTTCGAGGCTCGTATGTGTATCGATGATAACCAGCTTTAAGTTGCCAGTGAGAAAACCTTTCGCAGAATTCTTTGGCGGTCTCGTTATCTCGTTGACGTAGCTTCTCGTAATCATCGGCAACCATGCACCTGTTATAAGCATTGACGACGTGCGGAGCGAGGTGGTTGAGACTCTGGGCCCACTGGCAAAAACTATCCCAATCTCTTGGCTCATTTCCGGACTCTAGTGCTTCATTTAAAACATGGAGCGCGTGTCCTTTGATTAAGCGGAAGCCTACCAAGTGCCATATGTCAGGATGGGCCACTCTGATTTCCAGCGTGAACGACAGTGTTTCCAACCATCGCCAAACGTCGATGGTGATATGTCCATCGTAGGTCGGGCAGTTGTTGTAGGACCAACCCTCAAAAACAAAGTCTACATCACGTTCGAAATGCTCGTCCGGATCATGAATGAACGCTTGAGTCATTGCTAAGACGGGTGGTAAGCCTGTGATATGACCTGGAAGTAATCAGGAAATTTGCTATCTAGGTGCGCGTAGAGTTGAAGGATTAATGAATGTCGAGAAGCCGTATCGATGGTAGAAGTGGAACTAAATGGTGCAGAAAGTTTCTAGTCCGAATGTGGGCCATGTGCATGTATGCGCAGATGCCAGAAACTGCAGGTCAGCAAAAATGTGGTAAACGACCCGCAGAGGAGCGCGGCAGAAGACAACAAAGATGTAACCCCTTGGTAGCCCCCCGTTAAAAAGCGGGCTAAGTTAAACTAGAGCATCCACATCGGGCGGTAAAACATCTTCCGGTTAATTTGACGGCAGGATTTCAGGCCCAGTCAGCAAACCTTCAGGCCAAGTTAATGGCCAAACTTCCAAATCCCTCCCTGAGGGGGGCCAAAGGCCTCCTTCGGTGGAGGTGATTAACTTTGCGCCCCCACCATGGGGGCTTAGTTAAGTTTGGTTAACAGCATTGGTTCGGTCATGACAAACCCGACTTCCCGTCAAGGTTGGAATTGAAGACTCCGGGTTTGAAAATGTCCCAGCTGTCACAATTGTCCCGGATAAGGATCGTCAGATTTGACAAACCTTGTTAGTTAACAGGACCTGAACCCGGTCATGAAGTATTTATTTTTTCCCGCAGATCAAACTGCCTTATAAAGCAAACCGATGTGAATCACAACCCTCAGATTCAGAATGGGGTATTCTTGCGGCTTGCGTATGAAAATCTGGTTGCATAGTGCTATGTTACCTTTGGAAAAAGTGTCCACCAACTGACGCGAGTCAAAGCCACAGGTCTCAGTGCCACGTGATGTTTAAGCTTTTGTGATTTTGACTCCTTTTGGCCAGTCTTATTTATGTTTTGTTGGGAAATCTGGTCATTCCAACAAGGCTCAAAGATGCTTAACTGCGCTCCCTGGGGCTGCTGGAGGTTGAGTGAGATGTGCACTAGTGCCCCCCCCCCTCGCCAAGTTTGACAAAGTGAGCCCACCTTGAAGCTAAACCTGTACCGCCTTGTGAATATTGGACTCCAAGCCATAGTTAAATTTCCATCAAGGTTTTTTGTTTTTGTTTTCAAGGATAATGATAATTTTGAACTTGTCAGTCATACCATGATGGTTTAAGATTGATGTTCTTGATAACACAAGTTATAAAGCTCTGTGATTGGACTTCATTACTGCATCAACATCATGCCTCACATGTGGTCATTTTAGCTTTCTTATTCTTTATAGACAGAAGAATTTAAGGTATATTTTAATTTGTGGATGTTCTGATCAAAACAATCAACGACCAATCAAAAATTCAAAACTTCTGCTTCTGATTATCAACCAGGCTTACAACAGCTAAATAGGTCTCCGACAACAAAGTACAATTTGAATCGGTTTTCATTGAACAAATGATAGTTCAATGTAGAGCCAAATTTTACAAAGACTGGGCTGCTAACTTAACACCTCCAGAGGAAGAAAAAGAAAGTGTTTACTGGATGCTCTGTGTTAAAATGCCTAAGACTCTTGCCTTTTGACCACTTTTTATGCACACTGATAGATCTACAGATCCATGTCAATTGACTTATCTCTACAACAAAAATGTAGACAGCAGTGAACAACTGATGACCGATGATCAAGATTTTTTTTTTCGATGTTAGCGCAGTTATACCGTGACTGAGGACAGCGCGATTTTTTGATCAACATGAGACACATAGGAGTCATCCAGTGTCAACCTGGCCAAATCCTGATGATCATACCAAAGTTGAGAAATTCAAGACTTTGGATACCTTATCATCTCTTGAATGATGATACGTATCATGGATTCTTGTATTCAGATTGCCAGCCTCGAGTCGCATACAAGTTCGTTCAGGAACTGGGGGTCATACGTATCTGGAGTGACCCGGCTGACTGTTGTCCAGACTCCAGACGCACATCATGATGACGGTTATGTTGATCAATTGTTAGTATTTTGTTTCGATGTTGTATGGACCCTAGTCTTGGTTGATCAGGATACTCCTAGTATCGAACTCCTCTCCCTTTTTTTTCGCAAACAAATAGGTAGTGTTCTGTCTCCTTAAGATCGAGTGTCTTGTGGAATTGAGATTCTGTTGTAACATGAATGATGGGAAGGATATCCTAGATTGAGCTTCATCGAGTGTGCTATCTCTGATTGGTTGGCTTGAGGTCTTCTTGTCTTTGACTATAATGGTTGCAGAGAAGTGTTGGGGCAATGTGCGGGTATCCTTGCAGAAGGATTAAGGTGTTGTTGGGATTGATCAGGATTCAGGAGGGACGAATGATGCGTCGGTTGGTGTATCTGCCGCACTGGGTGATCAGCATCAAGGTTTCATTCCGCTGTGTGATGGATTAGGTAATCGACTCCCACACCGACACAACTTGCACAGCACTCTTGTTGTACATAATCAGTTTGCTTCGATCTAATAATTTAAATGAAGCCATTTATAATAAGCCACTTCTCTCTTTCACTCTCTCCTTCAGCTTTTTCAGCATCCACACTTTTTTTTTCTCCTCACCGACTGCACAGCAATCCTCTTCTCCACATACATCCAACTCTCAACAAACCCCCACCACTGGCAAACTCCCAAGAAGAACCAACTAGGAAAATAGGACCACAAGCAACAATCAGGATGACTACTACTACTACAACTGCGACTACTCTCAACGAGCAAAACCACAAGAAACCAATCCTACGGTCCATCAAGTTCAACAGCTTCTTCTTCAGCTCGGCCATCTTCTTGCATCTCACCCAACTCCTCGTCTTCCCATTCGTCATCCTCTCCGATTCAACCTTCACCAGACACTTAAGACTCAAGTACAACTGTCTGGCCAGGAAGACCTTTGCAATCATCTTGATCCTAATCACCCAGGTATCATCATCATCAACTCCAACTATTTAAGATATCCGTATCAAACAATAATTCGTAATCATGCATGCTGACTATCTTGAAATTCTCCTTTTTTTTATACACATAGATCTTTGCGCCGACTAATTTGGTCCTCACATCGGATCACTCGATAGATCTGAACCAAGTCGTACGGAGAGATAAGAATGGAAACATCATCGCAATCGATTTACCATCACATTCCAGTCAGTCGTCATCACAAAATCTCTTTTTCCCTTTTTAGATCTTTCTCCCCAAAATTTCCAGTTTAAATACATGATCATTAATCAACTGTCATCATTGCTTTTCTTTCTTCTTTCTCCAAACTATAGTCATCATGGCTAATCACCAGGTTTTTAAACTTTCTCTTTATGTATTTTCTTGTAATAAAAAAATAAATAAAGTGGCTCTCCTCAGCACTTGAATAAACACCCTCTTCCAATCTTCCTCCAACTAATTTTGACCGTATCTGACTGATGAACTTTTATCTTTTATTGATAACTCCAGATCTATGCGGATTGGCTATATGTATGGTGAGCCTTTTTTGTACCATAACAAGGAGAAGCGCGTGTTGCAAAACTGACTCTTTTCTTGTTTTTGATGTAGGTCTCTGGCGTATCTGGCAGATATCCATAGTGCACTGATTATCATTCTCAAGGCCTCGTTGAAATGGGTACCGCTCGTTGGTCCTGTGAGTGCTTTCTTTCACTTACCTCACTCACAAGATAGCAAACCAAAACAGATCTGTTTTTCATTTCCATCTTCCTACTTTTTTTTCAATCACAGAGCAATAAATGCTAACATTTTTTTTATGAACACACATCTCAAATCAACATAGGCGATGCAAATGTTTTCGTTCATTTTCCTGAATAGGTCGTGGGCCACAGACAAGAAAGACCTGACAATCCAACTGGACCAGTTGGCAGACCAGACCTACAACCCGACGATGAGCTCCCTAAACAAGATCGGGCTGCTGATTTTCCCGGAAGGGACGTTGGTCAGTCCATTGACTCGGCCGGCAAGCAAGAAATACGCCGAGAAATGTGGGGTGGTAAGACACTCTAACTTTTTAAATTGAGTGATAAGTTGCGAGGAAATGTTTGACTGATTTTAATCTGTTTTTTTTTTTTTTTTTGAATGAAGGATGATTTGAAACATTGTCTACTACCCCGTTCCACCGGCTCTCTCTTCTGTATGAGGGCGTTGAGCCAGAAAATCCCGGACTTGAAACTGATCGATCTTACAATTGGCTATTCGGGCGTCCCAGCTGATGGGTAAGCAAACCCATTCCTCGTCCTGCAAATGCGACCCCCCCCCCTCGCGCAATTCCTAAACAACAGCTGTTTCTCCTACTTTGGAACATTTGGATAATTAACAGACATGGACAAGATTATTACACGCTTCAGTCGATCTTTGGCTATGGCCGTCCGCCCCCGAAGGTGCACATCCACATCAAAGTCATTCCAGTCTCCGAGATCCCGATAGGACATGTTGCTCCGCGACCTTCGACGCCCAATCCGATCTCCGTCTCGATCCCGACCAACGATCTTCCGGTGACAATAGACGAGAAGAAGACGACGCCGAAGGAGCTGAGCAGTATGAATGACCCATCGCCCGAAGAAGTGGACCGGTTCGACAGCTGGCTACGCGGCCTATGGGTCGAGAAAGACATGCTTCTTGACCAGTTCTACGCCCATGGTCGCTTCGATCCGGCCCCCCTCGATCTGTCCCACAAACATCTGTCACACCACTCTCTCGAAAAACGGGCCCTTACTCCCCCTCTCGAATGGCCTATCCAGCTTAAGAATTATAGAGATCTTAATAGGACTTTTGGCTTGGCTCTCCCTGGCGTCTTTCTCGTCGCTTGTGCTTTCAAACTTCTCTTCTTTTGAAACCCCCTCCCCCTCATATTTTATTCCTCTTCCTATAAACCAAGCCCCTTCATCCCCCCCCCCTCCTCACTCTTCAGCTAGCATTCGTCATTTCAATTAGGTCCTTTGATAGCATATTCCTCCTCCTCAAACCCAATCTCTTTTCACTTCTTTTTCTTCTCGTTATCATTTTTCTTTATCTCTGATTTGAGATTGGTTTGCTATATTTCTTCTATTGCCTCTTTGTTTGAAAGAAACATAACCAATTTTGTCTTTATTTTTTGATTTTTTTCTTATTTTGGTTTAGTGAAACTTTATTGGACATTTGGATTGGATAAATACATATACACACTTAAAATACACATAAATAAACATATACATATCATTGGTGTTTTTTTTTCATTTTTCATTTTTGTAGATCATTTTATGTTAGGTTGTAGCAGTTGTTGTAGTTATAGGTCTATGTAAACATATACAAGGAGTAGTCGCATTCATCGATTTTGTACATAATCTGTCGGCCAGTTCTTCGCTCATCTCATCCAAGAAGAATGGAGAGCAAGTGCATCATCTTATCATCACAATACAAGCAAGATTTATATATCATCTTTAATTTTTCTTTTTTACGCATATTTTAAACTTGTTTTTACTTTTGAGCCTACAAGTGTGTTTGTTTTTGATGGTCCCCAATCAAGTTCACATACTAGATAAACAGCGTTGTAATTAACATCCATTCAGTGTGTCACTTTGTGGCATCCAATACCTGGGCTTGCTTACCAATCAACTGGCTTTTTCTCTGGATCGTGGCTGAGTTGTCAAGATGTGTCTTGATTGTGAACTCAAGCGGTTGCAGCCTTCCTGTTGGCATTTACAACCCTAATTAATGCAGAAGTTGATTTACACCACCAAGCTCTTAATCTTTGGTAAAAAGATTTTTTCTTTCATACGCCTTGTTGTGATGGCTTTCATGTGAGCTAGCTTTAGTGCGTTGCTTTGTGTTTAGTTATTCATAGACTTATGGATGTTCAATCTTAACGAAGTCCCGGTCCCGGTTGGGGTCCCTTGCGGAGCTCCACGGACCACCACGCGAGGGGCTGATTGAGCCTGACTTAAGACGAGTCCCTCGCTTCAGAGGGCTGGCGTGAAGCGCCCTCGCGCGAAGCGCGACCTCCGTCCCATTGGGAATGGGAGATGCTTCGCAAGCTCTGCACCCCCAGTCCTGGGAGGCTTAGTTAAGTCGGGATTAAGCGCGGTGGAGCTTACAAAAGGATCGGAGTTTCCGGAGAGATTCATGATCCGGTTCGCTGCAGGAATTAGGATGATCCACGACGGCAAAAGCGGAAAGCCCAAATTTTGCATGTCCTCCGGAGGACGGCCGAGACAGTTGTGCTACATACAATATGTGACGCCGGCGCCGTGGGCCTTGATCGACCGACGAGCCGTGCGCTGGGGTAGAATGAAGAACAACACAGGCCCATGTCTTCATACCCATCATCTCATGGTAGCTCGAGTGAGAACAGCGAGAGGACGACGAGAGAAACAGTCAGGGGAGCATCTTCAGCTCTTCACAAGTAGATTGTAGAGCAGTACCGAGCAGTTTATGGTTTTCTCAGTCATGGGGTTGATCTTCTTCAAACAATTGTGTGTGTGTCTATCTTAGTAAACTCCGCCAGCCACAAGTAATCACTGCCGCCGTCACGCTAAGGCGAACCCATCGTCTGAGGTGCTCTTCCAGCTTAGTCGCCGAGAACATAAAACCAGGCCGTTCTTACCCCTCTTTCTCCTCATCAGTCATCCAACACTACTTCCTTGTATCCAACCAACTATATATCTCCAACACCCTCGAGCCCAATTCTTCCAAGCACTTCTCGCCACAGACCATCCAAGCCGCGCCCAACATGCAATCTGTCCTTGTAGCTGCTAGCCTCCTCTGTCTCTCTCTCCTCCAGGGTGGCCTTGCCGCTCCTACTCCTCTTCCGACCGACCAAGAATTCTCGAAACAAGCCGAGCCAAACGTGTCTTTAGACAAACGTCAACTAATGAGCTATCCCGGTTTTGCCAATACTTTTTACAATCCTTACTTTGGTAATCGGTTTTACTCTGGCAGTTCTTCCGGGTTCAATTCGCAAAGCTACTCGGATTCCGTTTCCACCTATTCGCCTTGGGGATCCTATAATTACCTCAGTCGAGGAAATCAGATGAATTCCTATTCGAACAACTTCAGTGGCCTCTATGCGAAGGACGCCGATCACACCAAGCCCACCAACGTGAGTTTCTCCTTTTCGATTGCCTGATCTTTCGCATTGACTTACTGAGTATTTCCACTCCACAGGCTTCGTAATCGATTATATCTTCACCACTAGCATTCTTATATAGTTCCACTTCTCAAGTCTAATCTACCTCCACTCAATGATCAATTAATGCTCATGTTCACGTCTATGCGAAACAATCTTGAAATTGTTTCCCCCTTCTCATTCTTGGTTCACTAGAATTTATAATGACGTGTGACTTCTCTTGTCTTGTACTTTTGTCTTGATAAGCTGTATCATTTTACTATGTCATGATTCAACTCCAATTATGTATTTCCTTATTCAAATATATCCATGTTGTTGCTTGAGATAAATTTTCTGCTTGCCTTTCAGCGCTGACTGAAATGATCAGTGTTATCATTTTTAAATCTGGGATATATTCCTCTGAGCAAGTAGTCCTCCCACCCTCAACGGGGTATTTCTTTGCGGCCTATTGATGGCGAGAGACCTGAATCGCTGATCTACATAGCCGGGTCTTTGATAGAGGTCGAAGTGACACAAAGACCAAGCAAACTTGAAGAAAATATATTAGATGGGAGGAAACATCCTATCAAGGGGTCACGGCAAATCACAGGGGTTTGTATTATGTATACGGTGAGTGATAAGACAATCTTCTTCCAAAAATCAGATATTTTGAACTGAGAAGTATTCTCGAGAGATCAAAGCAGAAAGATATTGAATCAGAGGATTAAAAATTGGACGCGCGAGGAGGATGGGAAAAAGCCATTCAGGAACCTTTGCACGGTTAGGATTGAGATTATTCGAGGAACTCGGGGACATGGGGCATACCTTGGCCGGGCGACCGCCGGGTTCTAACTTAACTTTGTAAGTTAGCGCCGGGTTGTGTATACATAGACTATGGAGCTGAGGGATCGGAGAGACTCACGTGGTTCGCAGGGTCCGCGACAGTGTGTCAGTGAGCAAGTCCCCTCCCGAGGACCGGTCGCCGGGCGCTTTGCCCGACAAGCAAACTCGGTACCGGTGAAATCCAGGTCATGATACATAGACTGACGAGCCGAAATGGTGTGTCCATTTGAGGAGCACCATCAAGTGACAAGAAAAATACATATAAACAGTGCCGCGAGTCACACTCATCATCACCTGGTAGCTCGTGTGAGAATAAAGAGAACGATGAGAGAAAGTCAAGGGAGCATCTTCAGTTCTTCACAATTAGATTGTAGAGCAATGTATAATGTTCTCATTCCTGGCGCTGGTGTTCTTCAAACATTGTGTGCGTATCTATTCCAAGCCTCATACCGTCAGCTAAGAGCCATGACTACCGCCATCACGCTAAGGCGAACCCACCGTCTAAGGTGCTCTTCCAGTCAGTAGTCGCCGAGATTATAAAACCAGGCCGTTCTTGCATCTCTTGCTCCTCATCAGTCATCCACCACTACTTCCTTGTATCCAACCAACTATATCTCTCCAACACCCTTGAGCCCAATTCTTCCAAGCACTTATCGGCAAAGACCATCCAAGCCGCGCCCAACATGCAATCTGTCCTTGTAGCTGCTAGCCTCCTCTGTCTCTCACTCCTCCAGGGTGTCCTTGCCGCTCCTACTCCTCTTCCGACCGACCAAGAATTCTCGAAACAAGCCGAGCCAAACGTGTCTTTAGACAAACGTCAACTAATGAGCTATCCCGGTTTTGCCAATACTTTTTACAATCCTTACTTTGGTAATCGGTTTTACTCTGGCAGTTCCTCCGGGTTCAATTCGCAAAGCTACTCGGATTCCGTTTCCACCTATTCGCCTTGGGGATCCTACAATTACCTCAGTCGAGGAAATCAGATGAATTCCTATTCGAACAACTTCAGTGGCCTCTACGCGAAGGACGCCGATCACACCAAGCCCACCAACGTGAGTTTCTCCTTTTCGATTGCCTGATCTTTCGCATTGACTTACTGATTATTTCCACTCCACAGGCTTCGTGATCGTGCCTTTCCCATTCAAGACTTTTACGACCCGCTTATATCTTCACCGCTAGCATTCTTATATAGTTCCACTCCTCAAGTCTAATGTACCTCCACTCAATGATCAATTAATGCTCATCTTCGCCTCCATGTGTAACAGTCTAGACGTGATTTCCCCCTTCTTCCCCTTCTCTCAACATTTTGATCATCACGCTTCACTTTTCTTGTCCTCCATATCGTCTCTAACTGTAACGTGTCTCTGTATGCCATACTCGAATCTCACTTGTGTTCTGTTCTTCAAACTCATCAATTACTTCGCTTGAGCCCAATTTTGAAATAGCTGCGTTCATCTACCACGCACTGAAATGGTGTGCGAAATGAGGAAAGAACTCTCCGATCTGTGTAGTTAAGTCTCAGACAGAGGTAGAAATGACTAGGAAGAGCCAATTACAACAATGACATAGGATTTTTGTTTTTCCATGCCACACTCACTAAGATCACGAAAAACTCAAAACTGAATTTCGAAAAGTAGAAAATTGGACCACAATGTCCCAGAAAGCTCACAGCACAACATTACGATTTTGTGCATACGATTAACATTAACGAAAATTTCTTCCGAAAAAAGATATTTTGACCCATATATATATTTAAAACGATAAGAATAGAACGAGATGAAGTAGTATGGTAGGAAACAGATGATCGAGGTGAACGAGAAAGAGTCAGGGATCCAGCTTTGCGTGTTGAGCTTATTTAAGTCTGTTCCCCGACCTCGTAGACTTGCTGGAACGATGGTAGATGGGATGCAGAACAGTTTCTACATAATTACTGAAAGTGCTTCTGGGGGTTCCAATGATGTGGGAGCCCTGGTCAGAGAGTGTTTGTCAGAAAATCTTCTTCCATGTTGATTAGTATAGTGATCAGCTCACTTTAGAAACAATCATAGATTCCAAGACTGGAAACAAGAACCTATCAAGACTGACACCGTCCAGATTACTCTTCAGCAGGTGAAAGCCATACAAATCCTCGTCGTCCTCATTCTCGGTTTCTTCATCTTGAGCATCATGATGTGGCGAAAAGTCTCTCTGCAATTCTTCAGTAGTAGCTTGCTGAGCGTTCGATTCCGTTCGAGTTTGACCTGATCCTTGCGAGTTTGAATTCTTTCGACCAATGAGTCCTCGGTTGTTGGGCTTTCGTACTCTTTTCGAACCTTTAGGTTTGATAGTCTTGAGGTTGTTGGACGAAAATACGCACGGAAAGCTGTCAAAAATTAGCCTCATGACTTCTTCGTTCTTGATCGATTTCGAACGGACGTCTGTTGAAATATAGATCGGGATGTTCAACTTTTCTAGTTGTCCACCCGCTTGATCTTGATACAATTTTCTATTGCATTTAAAACTTGTTTTTCGATTGAGGGTGTTTGAGGGTTTCAGCTGCCGGCCATGTCTAGTAGGATTCAAGAATCGGCTCTTTGGGGTTACTCCAGAAGTCTCTTTGTTGAACCCCCTAGATTCGTACTTGAAATGTCTGTTGTCGGATTTATGACTGGTTTCGAGATCACTTAATTCGATTTTAGAAGCGGATTGGCGGTTGACATGGAGGGCGGATTGGAGATTCTCTAGCCCGTCGTTCACGTCGCCAGTTTTCAGTAGCGTATTCGATTCATATTGAGCAATCAAATCGTCTATAATTTTTTGGTCGACCTTCAAAATTTCCTTGCAAATTTTATCAAATGTTTCGCGGATTACCTGTGGAGCTTGAACCTAAATGACCAAGTGGAAGAGGATTAAGCATTTTTTGTCAACCCACCGCAAGTAAGCAAAGATCTCTTACTTTGAAAAAGGCATCTGCTACTCTAAGATGTAAGCCAATGTAGTTTCCTCTGCCTCCCAAGCGATCAGCGATGCGATCAGAGATCTTTTCCAGCAAAGGTAGGTTTAAGAATTGGTTGCTCTCGATCTTTTGATTAAATTTTTCCATTTCTGGACTGCTTAGTATGACCCGTTCGCTACCAAACAAAGAGCCAAAGCTGAGCAATCTCGTATCACTGAAATCGGCCAAGTCTGCGATATTCAGTCTCCATTCGTACTTCGATTCAGCCACAGAGGAAGTGGTCGCAGATTCGTAGATTTGATAGCTATAACGAAAATCATCTTTCACTTCAAGCCATTCTCCAGGCTCCAATTTCAAGGTGTCCCATAACCATGCTTCGCGTAAGTCAGTTCGATCAATGATTGGTACTTCTTTATAAAGGTCCTTTATATCAAGCATGTAATCTACTTGTACAGACGTCCACTTAGAGTCGTCTCTGCATTCTTTCAAGAGATCCGATTTCTCTCCACCAATGTGACTATCGTGAACTTTGGACAGAAGGTTTGAACACTCTGATAAACGATCGTATTTCGTCTCAGCCTGTTCTAAGGCTGCACTGAGAGACGTGGAGTTCCCCCAACCCAAAGCATTTCCGAGCCTAAATGATGGTAGGATCAAGGTGCGATTTAATAGTTTTGCTATCTTGAACGCATTTTTGATTTCGATTCTTTGGTTGTGGAATCCAGAATGAGGCGAAAATGTCAAAAATTTGGTGCTTTCTAACTCCCTAGTAAGCCGATGGACACTCGGCCAAACGTCTTCGTATCGTAAGTCCGGCTGAAGTCGCATTCTCGGCAATGGTTTGTACGGGGTGCTGGGCGCTTCTTTCACTACCAACCTTTCAAATATCGGTATCACTTCTTTTTGTCCTGTAATTTTGTTGAAGCGGATTGACTTAGTAACTTGTTTTGTCTTGCAAATAAAACCTCATTTTGCAGATACAATTCAAGCTGTTCTTCGGGACTGCTTACCGAAACCTTGAGCGTCCTTTGGTTCAGTATCGAAATGATCAACCACTTGATCGACGCGGGAAGATGGTATTTGAGACCCTCGTGTTTGCTCTCTATCGCTCAGAGCCTCATCTACTTGAAGTGCACTTTTTGGGTTGTAGTAATTGTTGAAACTTGCGCTTGTTGTCTCATACGACTCGCTCGTCCAATCCCGAGAAGCACCCTTGACGTTAACCTTGACTGAGGACCAGCCCAACTGAGGATCCGAATGGGCATGTTGAGCAGTCCAAGTATAAAGAACTGCGCGAGGAGAATAACGTAAAAGGGCCACAATCGAGGCTATCAGAGCGATTATGACCACAAGCCTTCGGGAAGTTCGTTTCTTCAAACTTCTCAGCGGAGTCGAACGAAGAGAAGCATCCTCTGGGCTAGCAGACCCCTTCGATTGATGGTGAGATGGTAAATTCTGGTTTCGCATCGTTTCTCTTGCTGACAGGATCAACAAAGGAAGTGACTGTAGTAGCAAAACCAAATCAGTGAGTTGAATGGAGCTGCGACTTGGTTAATTCAATTTTTTTGTTCTCCTTTTCACAAAAAGGCACTGGACAACAAAAGAAAGAAACACGTCCATCTGCGCCTAACGATTGTGGATCACACTAGACTGTGAATGGTCAAGTCTGACTGCAGAGGGAACACTGAAGGTCAAGTCCGAGCATATAAAGAAATCAAGTATCCCCAAAAGAATCGGTGATCGAATTAGCTTCTCAAGCGATCAATCCCGCGAAAACAAAAAAAACTATAGCTCAAGATCCCCCATCAGCTTGAAGGTTGGTTGAAAGAAATCTGCATGGTCTCAGTCTGGCTCTTGAGCAGCTGGATTGAATCCCATCATCGGGCATGATTTTATTATAATAACCACTATAAAAAGACAGGATCAGCAGTAACAGAAAACTTCTCCGCCTTGAGACCTAGAGCTGCAAGAACCACGGTGGAGTATCTGCGCAATCCACGATCTAGCTTAAAGGTAGAGAGCAACAGAAGCACCAAATCAACTGGAAAATAACAGACAGGCTGTACTGCTATGACTTACAATGCACTTGTCATTATAGTCTGACTTCACTGATTTTTATAAAATCTCTTCAAAAGTATTTGTAGTCGTATACCCTGACTTACAGGGCCTATTTCCTGTCACTCGAGCATTCTTATCTTTGGGAAAGTGCTTGGATCATTTTGGTGTTTTGTGTAATCACCAAGGCCCCGTTTGGCCGAAAATCGCGATTTGTGATTTGGCTAAGGTTTGGCGCGGATTTGGACCGTGCAATATAAAACAATATAAAGTTTTTGCACAAACTCCTGCCAAACCTTGACTCAAAATTACAAATTATGGATGGCCAAACGGGACCCAAGTTTTTCATAATCTTCTATCCTTTGTTCACTTTCTGTATTAATTTCTCTAGTCTCAGTTGGCAACTAGGCCTGCTTGAAAATGGTGTACTTCAAGTTGCCCTTTGGAAGCAATACACAGCTATCAGTCCTTAATTCCCCCCGCCTTGGATTGAATCCAGTACTGGATGACTTCCCGTTGCTATCTACAACCCTCCCAGAAGTCAATTTACACCCCTTAGATCTATTTTTTTCATCAAGAAAAAACATTTTGTCTGAAGCCTTCCAGAAGCAGCTCTCATGTGAGCTGGTTGAAATATTAATTGTGTTGTTAATTTAGGACTGAGGGAGGTCTAAAAAGCATTCTAAATCCCGACAGGAAGTCCTGCACTGTCCCAATCTCCATAGAGCTCTATCTGTCAAATTCATAATTCCAAATGGAGGAATTGTTTGTAGAATTGACCAGATAACCAGTCAACATTTTCACTAGGACCAGTGTCCTTATCGATGAATTGGATCTTTGCAACATTGTTCGAAATTTTTGATTTCCATCTGCAGGGCTGAGGTAGTATCTGTGTTAGAACAACTCCAGCGGTCCAGGGGGCAACTTACTTGTGTTCCGCAGGCCGCGACCCCATGTCACAGAGGTCGCAAGTCAGTTCCAATAATGGACTGGCAGTGGCAGTACCCCAGCCGCAGAGCTACCACCAACACTGATCAACCAACCCACATACCCTTCCAACACACCACATCAATGGAAGATCTTCTCTGATGGATGGTCAACAACAACAACATTGTTTCCTCCCTCCAAACAACACTCTATCTTTCTCTTTTCACTTGTGTTTTTTCTGCTTTTCACTCATGTTTCTCTCATTTCTCATGTTTTGTTTTTAGCTTTTTGTATGTTTCTCTCATCTCTTATGTTTTGTTTCTAGGTTTTTTTTATTCTCTTTCTCTTTTTCACTCTCTAGCTCATGCTTCTCTGATTTGTGCTTGGGTCATTGAAATTGAAATTGTTATTTATAAAAAAAACCTTCAAAGTAGTGGAGATCAATTGCAATTATGATTCTGGTGAGAAGCAATAATGAATAGAGCGAGAAGCAGCAACAAAAAGAGATGGTCTTGATAAAACGGGAAACAAGCCGGTTTGGGGGTTGCATCATTGGTTGGCTTGTTTTTTGTTGCATCATCGGTTGGTTTTTTCTGGGGGTTGATTTTTCTTTTTGGTTCTTTTCCTTTTTCTTTGGGAAACTGGGTGTCTGGGTGGGTTTGTATTTGGAATATGGTGGACCAGTGTTGGTCATCATTGTGGGGTGTTTGGTGTTGTATGTAGTGTTGTGGGTGGACAATATGGGAATTGCGGCTGGGAGGTAACTGGCAGAAGTCAGCAGCCAATCGCGGGTTTGAGTGCCCCCGGCAGTGTTCCCAGGGTTGTAACGCAGGACCGTTGGAGAGCAAAATGGACTTCCGGGCTGTAAAAGTTTGTCCCCAGATTCCTGATCACGGCTCCGTTGGAGTTGCTCTTAGCTTCTGCTGGCATGCAGGAAATTTCTTTGAAGCTTCCTTTGATACCTCATTCTTGTAGATTTTCTCTTCAGTCAAGAGTGCTATTCAACCATTTCTGCACAAAGATATAAACATCCAAATAAAATTCAAAGTAATCAGTATCTTCAATTTGAAAACATTTGAAAGTCATTTATCAAAAACACTTAACCAGTTTTCAACTGTTAGGGCTTCTCTCAAGAACATAGAGGTGATGGCCAGATCAACCAAACAGTTTTCTCATGATGTAAGTGATTCATATTTATGCAAGCAGACAAAGGAGGAGGTGGACCTAGACCATGTGGGGCGGGAAGAGGAGGAGCCTGGAGGAGCTGGCTTGGTGCCTGGTTGGAAGTGTTGTTACAGGACTATGCACTTACACATTATCACATACTTTTTTCACACAGTTTACATATTTTCTATATAAATTCACATACTTATATAAATATTTCAAATATGGACTTATATTTGGTTTCTCATCAATACAAATACATACATAGTTGTAGATAGTATAAATAGCTTACCTATGCTGAAATACAGTTTTTCCCTTTGGGGGAGTTTTGCTATTCTCACTTTTGCATTTTGGGCTCTCTGCAGGAAGAACCACTGGAGAGATGGAATCTAGGGGGCAGTACAGAGAAGATGTGGTACCTTCCTCACCATCTACAAAATAAGTATGATTCATATGCATCACTCATCATTGTTTAACTTGGCATTTATTCCATGTAACTTGTTTACTTGTTTTTTGTGATCTATCTCTATTTAGAAGGATTTTCAAGCTTTTGGTAACTTGGAATCAGTACCAGACAATAGGGCAGTTCAAGTTCCAGCCAAAGCTTTTCTGTTCTTGAACAAGGTTTGTTTGCTGATGAACTGTAATTGTGGGATTTCTCCTTTAAAGGGGAGCTTCCCACTAAACACTTTTACTTTCCCATGAAACTTAAATGACATTTCCTAACAAAGTTCAACTGCTGATTCCAAAATCAGCAGTACATGAACCCCATTAATGTAAATTATTTGCAACTATTAGCAGGTTCATGATTGAAATTTCTAAATTTTCAGAGCCAATTTTAAGGCTATTATCAACAACATTTCAGAAAATTATTGGTTGAGCAGATTTGGGGGTTTCTAATCAATCCACACAAATTTTTGATTTTTGAAAAAATTGGAGGACTTTGTGTCACCCAGATGGCTTGATTTAGAGAGACTGGCTAAGCTTTGTTTGCTGGTGAAATCTCAAGGTTGAACAATTTTCACCAGCAAATAAGCCTCAGCCCTTCCTTCTAAATCAAACGACAAGAAGTCCTCCATTGTTGATAAACACCTCAAAATGGGCTTTAAAATTTGATAAATTCCAATCATGAACCCTGCTATTCACCCCCATTTGTAATCTTGTTTTGCTTTCCAAATTATAAAATGAGGAACATGAGGTTAGTGTTATGAAATGGTCGCTGAAGAGCTTGGAGACTGGAGTTGGTGTAAGCATACTGATGTCGCAACAGCTAAGGCCTGTGCTCCAAGTGCGCTTAGAGGAAGTACAGCAACTCGTCGGATGCGAAAAGAAACCAACAGGTGCCTTCCGCGCCAAGAAGCCAACCTCAGGCCCTTCAACGCGAGGAACGGGCCTGTGCCAAGGCTTAAAGATATATCACGATCAAACTTTGTTATAATAACAGCCAGATATGTTAAGTAAGCGGGAATTGGATGACTTCCCGTCAACATCTGCGGGGCTCCCAGTTTTGATTTAGAGCCGAAAAAGCTAGATTTCCCTGCAAAAAATCTAGACTTTTTGGGTCTAAATCGGAAACTGCGAGGCTCCCAGATCCGACGGGAAGTCCTCCATTATAAAGTACAATTGTAGTTATGTAAACATCGGACCCTAGACATCTTCACTGCTGGTCTTTCGCAAGTTGATAGGAGACAATTGCGGCACTCAAACCCATCATGTTCATTGAAAGTATCTATTTAACTGCTTGCCTTGAGCAAGTGAGTGGGAGGCATCCTACAGGTAATTTCAGCGCTCAAAGCTAATTTTGTTCATTGAAAACAATTCTTACAACAACTCATGCACTTCTGCTATATTTGATCTTAATCACAGGAGACCTAGCATTTAGAATTCCATGCTTCCTGTGCACATCTTCGCGCGAGTATCCAGTAATGCTGCTCTATTTTTCCCGCTTTTGATCTCAAAAACTCCCGGTACTTCCCACATGAAGGAACCAACAGTTTAAATCTAGTTGAAGAAAAGGTCCTCTCTCCGTATTCCGGATACCGCAGTGCTCCGCCCTCCCGCCGCCAGCACATTAATGCAACACAGTCAAAGACCAAGCGAGATTTTAAGTTAGCATGAATCCAGGTATTTATGCATGAATGCGGTCCAACTTTTCGGGTTCAGTGTGATCCAGGTAGCAGGGGTCTCAAAAATGAGTTCTGTAAGATGATGTGATCCAATGAAATGGAACCTTCTGATCTATTCTGGAGTGCTGTTGTAAGCTCATTAATGAACCGGCATAAATTTCTAGTTCTAAAGCATATGCAGTCGTTCTCTTATAAATGTGTGGGCATTTGCTTTCCTTCGCTGGCCTGGTTCATCTGTTCAAACCTTCCCACAGAGTGAAGTTGAAACATCCAATATCATGCCATTGAACATTTGACTCCCATTCCCGCTCGGTAGTTTGGTGTTGCTCGCTGCTTCCGCCAGCAGTCTCCGGTTGTCATGGACTGGGGGGTGTAATTGATTAGGTACGCAAGACCGGCACCGAGCAGCACCCCCCGGGGGAAAAGACCATCTATGTAGCCCAGTGGGAACAGCACCGCCTGCATATAAAAACCGAAGGACCTCCCCCAACTACCACCACCACCACCCCCACCACAGTCCTCAATATCCCTGCCCATCCCCTCCATCATCCTCAAGTGGAACCAAACAAATAGATTCGATCGACCCGCCAATCCAAGAACCGAACCCAACCTCTCCCGAAAGCTTGTTAGCAAATGAATAAATAACTGGTCAAGCCGACGACGTCAACAACAGGGAATAACAGTACTGGAAGAAGCCGAAGAAGACAGGAGGACGAGCAAAACACCAACAGAAGCACGAAGAATAGAATACGATGATTAAGCCAAGAATAAAATCCTTGTATCTGATCATACTGAAAGAGGTCAGTTCACAGTTTCGGTCACATTTTCATTCCATTTTTACGTTCAATCGGAGTAGATCTAGCACTGATTTAGAACCAAAATTTGTTTTATTGTACAGGCCAACATCGTGATCACGGTCCTGACAGCGTTTTCAATACTATATCTACGGTCGGCCCATTCGCTATGGTTCGGGTTGGGTGCCATCGTAGCCACAGCAACAGGTAAATCGTATCTTGATTCAAGACACTTTTCAGAGGGGAAAGAAAAAGAGAAACTATCGGGGTTTCATACGCATGGTGCTGATTTGTGATCTATGATAAAAAACAAAACAAATGACGATTTTGATAGCTAAAATATTGAAGAGATGTATCAAGCAACCCAGGCCGACAGAATCTACGAAGAAATCCTTTGGAATGCCTTCAACACATTCATCATCCATCACATTCTATGGAATCTATTTGCTTCTTGTTTGCTTATTACTACCAATCCATCCCAAGATGACCAACTTATTACCAGGCAACGGGATAGCGGCCGGGAATACTGAAGGAATTCACACTCAGACGACGAGCAACAACCAGAAGGATTTTCTATCGAGTTGGGTGAACACAATGGGAGGCGAAGAAGGAACAGTCGAGTCGCTTGGCGATTCCCCGAGTCTCCTCAACGTCTTCCTCCGTCTAATATACGGATCGGTGTTCATCCTGATCGCTGTTGTGGTCTGTTGGTCGCGGATCAAGCTGGGACATCATACACATAAACAAGTGATCGCAGGTGCGGGGATTGGCGGATTGATGGGTGTGATATGGTTCGGGATCTGGACGGGCTTCAAGTTCCCCAAGGCCTTCCTTCTCGGCCACTATTACTACCACCCCTCATCCTCTCCACTCTCGTCCATCGACCGTACCCAGCTTGTCACTATCAGAGGAATCGGCCCTTACTTGGAACCGGCTTTCTCGAGAATCTCGATCTTGTTTGCCGAGGCTTGGTATATGCGCGACTTTGGTCTCGTCTGGGACGGCCTCATCCGGCCTACTATCAACCAAATCGGCTTCTTCTTCGGCTTTCATCATCGCATCTTCGATAACGGCCTCCCGCCCAATTCTAACTTACATCTCATCAAACCTCATCTGGATTCCAGTCTTCAACGTTGAATACTACATCCCTTCAATTCATTCTCCTGTTTTGTTCCATTATCTCATTCTCATTCTCGTCCTATTCCTCCCTCTCTCTCTCTCTCTCTCTCTCTCTCTTTCCCTCCCCCTCTTTATCTCTCTTCCTCTCTCTTCCCTCCCCTCTTCCTCTCTTCCTCTCTCTCTCTCCCCGCCTCCCTCCGCCCTTTCCCCTCGGAATGATTCATGTACACAAAATATATGAAATTTCTCTTACTTTGATTTCTTGAACTTCGTTTCTTTTATAGGCAAGTGAAAGAAAGGAAAATCCACTGCTGCAGATTTATTTGTTTCGGCACAAATTTGTTTCTGTTGTTCGTTCTACATTTTTTTTTTCTTCAGCTGATTTTAAGAGAATAAACATTAAATAAAAAAATAGATTACGAAGCAAATCATGTGATTTTTTTTTTTTTTACTCAGTCAGTACATTGAAGTGATGTAATTTTTTTTTCTCAAGAATTTATGTTGTCTATTTTCCACGAGACAACAACATCATAGCGTGCACCAGCACGTCCAGCCTCAGGGAACACACATATACTCTTTGGGCCCAGAGTCAAAAAAGAGTGTGTCAGACAAGCAATATGTGTATGTATGTTACATACATGTCTTGTCATATTGTCTTTTGAAGAAAGCTTGGACAAACGGAAGTTTTCCAAGTCTTAAAGTTATGTGATTAGGGTGCACAGCCTGGGTTTAATCTGGCGGTTTTTGCCTCACACAGCTGCCAATCAATCCACCAGGCTGTGATTGGGCACATGCCCATCGATTGGATCCCAATCTCTACCTCTTTACCGCACCCAACTCAACCCACAACAACACAATCTCTACCTCTTTACCTCACCCAAATCAACCCACAACAACATCTGACGACATCTTTCTCAATGGTTTATTGGTTGCACGAGCCGGCTACCAAGATTGCAACCGTTTGAATGGTGCTTCAGGAATTGTCAGTCGCCAAAATCTGCCAGTTGCTTGGTGTTGGGATTTCTTGGCAATCATTTGGATGATGGCTCGAACTTTACAAGGAAACCCGATGTGTAATCAAGGATCCAGAAACTTACAAGGCCCGCAGTCGGCCAGCCTCCCTCTCCAGAGATGAGTGTCTGTTCATGGTTTGCCTTGTTCAATCCGAACCCGGGCTCTTTCTAGACGAAATCCAGGAACGCTTGTACGATTCCAGTGGTGTATTCCTCAGCGTTGAGGGAGTCCACCGGAATCTTGTGGAACAATTATCGATAACATTGAAGAAGCCTGAAACAAAGAACTGTTGGAAATCACTAGTTGAGAAGTACTCATTTGTTGAGAAGATGGAATTCTTCCCAGCCGACTTTCTTGTTTTTACTGGTTAGTTTTTGTTCTTTTCTTATCCATTTCATTAGCTGACCTATCATTTGTTTCTCTTCCTCTTTTAGATGAAAGTTCCTTCTGTGATAAGGACTTGCTTTGATCGTTTGGCAGGTCTAAGTGAGGGACCCCCTCAGCCAGACTTGTCATAAACCAGAACCCACCACGATTAAGTCTACTCCCAGCCATATCAATTGAGGGGCTGGTAGCACTAACGACCACGTTTGACACTTACAATGGAAGTAAATTTGAGCACTTCCTCGAATATGATCTAGTCAGTTATGTTTGGCTTCTCTCACTACAAACGGACCTGACACTGTTTTCTACAGTTACCGCGTATGAATCGCTATCCTGATTCCAATTCAGTTCTGGTTTGCGATAATGCTACATATCATCGTGGTCAACAAGTTGGGGAACTTTGTCGTGCCGCTGGGGTGCAACTACTTTACCTCCCTCCCTATTGTCCAGAATTGAATCCGATTGAGCTTTGTTTTGCTGCTCTCAAACAAAAAAACCGATCAAGCCAAATATTGAATCGCACCGAGGAACCTGAATATGAAATTAGGCGAATAACTGCAGAGGTGATGACTGATGAGCTCTGCTACAAGCTCTATAAGCATTGGGGGTACTGTGTTTTTGAAAACTAGAACTTGACTCTTTGGTGTTTTTCTTTTGCTACTTTTGGTTTGTTAGTTTTCTGCTTGTACGCTTCAGCAAATCTTGTAGCCTCACTAGATTACAGTTACCACCAATCATCCTCACAAAAAATTGCTTTATCCACTGCAAATTGTATTGACTTAATCCCCCCCCCCCCCCAATTCAGTGATTTCATATGACAAAAGCTCAACCTAGTGTTTATTGTTAAGTTCTGAAAACTGTTCTGATTATCATTGAATTTGCCACCTGTTTCAATCATTTTTATACCCAAAAAGTATTGTTTGTGAGATGAAGTGTATCAATCGCCGAGAAGGAACTATTATCAGAGGCAAGATGGATGAAGGTTTTCGCCTCAAACCTCTACTATTCCGTCCGTACTTGATGTCCTTTTACACCTATGCGCGAGGAACAAAAACCAGCAGCTTGAAACGATATGAAATGAATGTGTAGACTTCATTAGTAGAGATGATTAGCTTAAAAACCAAGAAAGATGGGATACTCCCCACCAACCTTAGTAAGGTCTTCAAGCACAAGTTGAAAAGACTGGACCATTTAGGCATTATATGGTGAAAGAAAGAGGTTGTGCGTTCAAATCCACCTCGTAGCGTAAACCTGTTTTAGCCTTAGAATGGCAGAATTCAAAGATTACTCCTCAGGTTATGTCTAATGTTCTGGTACTCATCTGACAAAATTTACTATTGTCTACCCTGAACATCATGCCTTGATTGCTTTTTCCCATCAATAATTTGGGGGGAAATGTTAAACAGTTGAATGTTTGACCTTGATACAATCAATAAAAGTGTGTTGACAGATTGATAAGACCAATGAGATTAAGAAGATGAGAACAACAGTTCATGAGTTGGTTGGATCAAGTTAGAATATGTATTGATCACCAACACAACCAGATAGCTAAAGAAGCAATTGATAAAATAAAATGTCAAGATCAAGGAGATCATAGAAAAAAGCAGATTTTTAAGCTTAAGGAGATCAATACAATGAGTACAATCAGGGTAAGGTAAAAGTATCTAATTTAATGAAATCAAGTTAGATAAAATGTTGAATTCATCTGTCAATCTTAAGCTTTCAAAAAGTGAATAAAATCAGGATAAGATGGCTGATACATATTCAGTTAAAGAATAGAGATAAGAAAACAACAGATGATCAAGTAAGAAGGTAGTTGAATTAGTCGATAAGCTAGTTTGAAGACGTTTGTTTTTCAAATTTTAACACATTGTCTTGTAATTGGGCAATGAAAACATCATGTAAGCCCCATTCTTTCATCACTTCTCGGGTGATGTTCTTGGATTGGAAAAGTTGGGGATTGGTTGCTTTGTTCTCAGTGAGAATGTGCAAGATTCCATCACTGTCGCCAGGTGGAATCTTGACGAATTCAAGGTACTCGTTGAGTAAGTTGACTCCGAGATCAATAACAGAATCGCTTTTGGAATCTGGCTCCGGGCTCTTAGTCTGGTGGCTTGACCCCTCGTTGAGCTTACGCTTCTTTGCAGAAGACAGCTTTTTGGACTTCATATCGGCTGGGGGGGAGTGGAGTGACACTCCGTCGTCGTGTTTAAGCTAACAGCAACAAGTTAGCAAACCAGTCCAAGGATGAGGAAGATCATCACTACTCACAAGGGCAGTGGCCCATTTCTGCACACTTCCAGCAGTTAAGGGAATGTATTGATTGCGATCGGTTGGATGAATGAAGACCGGAAACTTAGGCTGGTATTTGACGTTTGGCGGTGTAAGACTCAAAAGTGGTTGTGAAACCCTTTTGCTGAATGGAGAAGGGGATGATGGAGTTGCAAGCTCTGCCCTTCTATCAGAGCAACAAGACCACCAAGCTCAGCTTGGCAGTTTATATATTGTGATAGAGTATAGTTCGAGATGAAGCTGTTGAATGAGTCGTATAACAGTTAAGATGATGTTGATTGTTGGTGATGATGTTGATGTTGATGAGGTTATTGTTGGTAGAAGTGGTGATGGTAATATTGTTGAGAGTGAGGCTTGAACGCGCAACCTCGAGTTGATGGTATTTAAAGTTTATGCTTCGACCAGGAATGGAACGGAGGACCAGGCACAGGTGGAGATCAGTTGAAGTTTAAGGTGGAGTTAAAGTGGAGTTAAAGTGGAGTTAAGGCGGATGTCTTGAATGGGAATTGAACCCAGGTCCTTGTGGTTGGGGTGTATGAAGCCAAAAAGCAGTGGATTTCAGGCAAAGGTGAGATAGCTTAGTGGTTATGAAAAAAGTAATGTTGATATTTCTACACTATAAAGAACTGTTATAATATATATAAGGGGGGTTATAATTGTAAAACCTCAATATTAGGTAGCTAATAATAATGAGGAGTGACCAGTGATGTAGTGTTATGGGGGGAACTGACTACAGAGCATCTGATGAGGAGGGAATACAACTGGCAGGCAGAGGCCTCCTTATATAGACAAAAGTGAGGGAATTTAGCTCCAGGGTACATGCAGGTAAGGGAATTTAGCTGGCCTGAATATCCAATGAGGGAATTTAGCTGGTCTAGTACATGCAGGTGAGGGAATTTAGCTAGTGATAGCACAGCCTTGAGGGATTTTGGCTGGCCTACAAGGTCCTGCTACAAGGGAATGCATGTGCACCAACAAAGGAATTCAATATGTAATATGAGCTAGTAAAGGAATTCAATATGAAACAAAGGAACTCAATATCCAATACGCATCCAGTATTCAAATTGAGCTATTGTCAGAGTAAAGGATCCAAGAGATATCCTGTGATAGGTTGAAATAGGTGTAACTTCTGAACTAATAGAGATAAGGGGGTAGTTGTAAGGAATCCATTTTTGATGTTTTTTTACCTTATATCTGATGTAGAAAAAGATGAGAATAAATTTTTATATTTTTGGCATAGAAACACAGGAATAACTACCACAGCGGGTGAGTCGCATAGATCTTGTTGGTGAGAATGTTGATGGGATCAAATTTGCTTGCTTTAACAGATGGATTGGATCCAGAAGCTTGTTGGACGGCAGCCTGCTTCAAGTTGTGCTTGTTCAGCTCGATAGCCAACTTCTCGTCTTTTTTTAAGCTTGCCGGGTTGACCATCGCAACTTCTAAGACTACGTCTGTGTGGTCCTTCCCATTGTCAACAATGGTCGCAATCCAGTGAGAATACGAACTTTTGTCGTTGACGGTATATTTTGCCGGCTTGAGAAACTCATCGGCTGCTGGAAGCTTCATCGAGATTTTCCAGTCGATGTGTGGAGATCCAAATCTTATAGCATTCTGAATCGCCGCCTCGGTTCCTTTGAACTGCTTCTCACATTCTTTAGCAACAATATCTCAAAATTGATCAAGACTAGTGGATACTGCAGCGAATGAAATTAGGAACTGTTGTTTTGATTTTATCATGTTCCAAGCGCCCTGAGGTTTTGAGGCATCCTTTGGGGAAAACAGCTTGTAGCTGGTGTGGCAATCGACCATCTGGACCTATACCAAACCAAAAAAATCAGTCCATGCAGGCCAAAAAATAAAAAACAACCAAGCATACCATCAAGTTGACCGGTTGATCACCAACCCCCTGAACCCGCCAGTATTTGGAAGCGGAATAGTAACCCGGCGGCGGGTTTTCTCTTCCGAGGAGATCAAGACCAAAGCGAGACATTTTCGTAACGGTGGCTATAAAAAACAGGAAAACTGGTTCCTTCCTGGTGCATTGGCTGGTTTTCTGCTGGCAGGCTGGAGCCTACAGGCCACAATACCAATGAAGCACAGCTTGGGGCTCCAAAGTGGAAATCATTGTGGTCATCAAAATCATTTCACAAGGAAGAGAAAAAAAGAGAAAAAAACTAAACTCAAAATCATAGAATGCCATGATTTTGGCACAGCAAACTCGGAAATCTGTCCAAGCTTTCTTCAAAAGACAATACCACTTTCTGTAAGTCTCTCTCAAATAGTGCCATATTGTTTTTTGGTGGTTTCAAGTGACTCACAGCTTTGGCAAATTCATGCCCACAGTTTTTTTTGCTTATATCGAATTCAAGTAACTCGCAAGTTTAGCAAATTCATGTACACCAGTTATAAGGAGCCTAGATCAGGACAAAATACGTGTAATGAGTAGCAATTGCCAATCATTGTGTGAATTCAAATTTAAGGATTGATTGATGCGGTGAAACCTTGGAATTCATGGGCCAAGTAAGAAACTATCAGAGGCTGATGTGAGAAATAAAAAGGAAACAAGGAAGCTACGTGATTATGTATACCAATTCGGCGTTTGTTGGAATCATGCAGGAAGCTGGTGAATTTGAGGAAATGGCAGGTCTGATAAAGATGTATGACACTAATAATTTAGCATTTGCCCTTTTTGAGCCTTTGAGGTCAGTACCAAGTAGCCAGTTAGCTGTAATGCGGCGCGGTTTATTATTCCCCGGATTGCTAGTGAAGTGATGGTAATCGTTCCATCTTTCTGATGTTCTCGGCTGTTTCATGGCTGATGATCCAGTACGCAGTCACAGTTTGTGGGGGTTCGTTCACCGTGGCAATTTTGACTGGGGCCATGTATCGTTCCGGCATGTGGTTGGGCTGCAAAGAAACTGTAGCTTGCACGGGAGGTCTCTGACCGTTCACGTATAGAACAATCGTCGCAGCATACGGCAACGGATTGTTGACCCAGATGGACCAAGTGCCTCTGCCCTCATCTGCTAATGCAACTTTGGTTGTCACCACATGTCTGCCAAAGTTTAGAGATTTTGAGGATTGGGTGTCCCCCTTGACTTCCCATGTGTGTACCATTTGTTCGGTTGCACCTGACATGCTGCACCAGCTGGTGCCAATGACCAGGAAGAGAGCCAGGAGAGAAGTGAAGCCGGTGCTGGGAATCATCTGATATGGAGCGGATCATGTCAGAGCAGTTATACACGGTACACCAGAGCAGAGATACACTGCCAGACGAGCTGGATCGGATATCTGGTAGCTGCAGATCATCAATCAGGCTTAGGTTACAGGCACGACCGTTGTTTTATCGGATTAGCCGACGTTGCATCAGGCCGGATCGATCCAAGCTCGGAAAAAGCCCACCATCACCCTTCATAAACAATTGTTTATCTGATGGGGCTTTCCCGACCTCAAATCGATCGAGTCCGATGCAAACATTGAAGAATCCGATATAACCACACTAATAAGACCCTTATAACTGAGATCTGACCGTTTGATCCATCGGCGAATACCAGAAATCCGATAAAGTCTCACTGGCAGTGATGCAAACAGAGAAATCCCACACACTGTTGAATTAGTCAGGGTAGAATGACTGCTTGCCTGCGGTGGAACTAATTTTCAAAAAAACTTGTTGAACGTAGCAAACTTAGCCGCGATAGATGAATGATACTTGGTGGGTTGGTTGGATGGTAGCTGACAAAATTGGCTTAAGGTATCCCCCTTCTTATGCTTTTTAAGTATGCTTGTGCCAACCACTCATGTCCGATCAGTCGAGATATACTTTGGCCTTATCTTGGGCACTTGTCCAAGCTGGTGACCGCAGGAACATGTTTCGTTATAACTTTCGGATAGCCCGTATCAGGGCAGCTGGCTTCCACCAGGTATAACTAAGCTTGATATTGGGGCCGGAGCTGGCCGGCTGATTCAGAAGTTGATACCAAGGTCCAACCTGTGACTGTGAGGGAAGGTGAAAATGACAAAAAGGAATGCGAAACTGTCAGTTCGGCACGCTCCGCTATCGTTATCCAATCCCGACCAGGACAAGGGGGAAATAGTCCCAAGAGAGCCTTTCCGCGAGCTTGTGAATGGAGGTGCACCACCGGTGAGGTGCACAGCGCCGTGACTAGGTTGGCGGCTACATAATGGCCTTCAAGTTCAATTTATACTAGCTATGAGTTGGAGTTTGTAAAATTGTAAGCATTTGCTTCACCCAGGCCGCAGTGCCATCGTGTTAGTCATGAAATATAAGACGTTGACAGATCATGTATGCCCGTCTACGCCAGGCTCCGGCTCTTCTTGCCTCACTGCGATTAGAGATCGAGGCCGGACGCAGTCAAGAGCTAACAACAGTCTTCTGGTCAGCTGATTAGAGATGACCCAGGTTTGGGTTTCAACACTTTCCGGAATAACCCTTGGCTACGCATCAACGTAACTTTACGGCCCCGTCCACCCGGAGGGTGATGAAAGGTAATCAGTTATGTAATTATTTATATAAAGGGTTTTGTCAGCATTGCAAACTTAGGCCAGCCAGGCCGAAACAAATTATTATAAAATTGAGCAAACCTAATCCCAGCTTGTCCAGTCTCATTTTGAAATATAATGGATGACTTCCCGTCAACATCTGCGGGGCTCCCAGTTTAGATTTAGAGCCGAAAAAGCTAGATTTCCCTGCAAAAATCTAGACTTTTTGGGTCTAAATCGGAAACTGCGAGGCTCCCAGATCCGACGGGAAGTCCTCCAATAACTTTGCGTCCATAGCCAACCACCAAAATATCAGACATGACGCAGGACATGTCACTTTGCAACAGAAACTATGTGACATGTCATCTTACTCGCTATCAGATCGCTCTCCGTCAAAACCAAATGACCTTGGTCCAGGGAGTTTTTGCCTCATGGAAATCAAGCGGCCTAGAGATTGAGAAATGCAAACATCTCAGACTGTGCAATGTTGAGGTGGGATTCTCAT